GTACTAATTTTTATATTTTTATTACAACTCAATATTATTTTCTCCGTTCCTTTTCCTCTTATTCTTCTTCAAACTTATTGTTTATTTCCCGGATCCGTAGGATAAATATATTATTGATTATATTACCAAATAGCTTCACGATCCTTCTAATAGAAGTTTTTTTAACTATATGAATAAAATGGCTATTCTTATCCTTAATAAACCTATTTATAAAATTTTTATATAAAGAGCCTTTATAAAAACAGGCTTTCAAATTACTAAATTACTCTAATACATCCTCAATAAATTAATTAGACTTTTAAAAAGCTTTATTAATTTTGGGAATAAACTTCTTTAATAACTTTATAATCTCTACAATTTTAATCTAACGCTCTAAATTAAATTATATCTTAAGTTATTTAAAAGTATACGTTTTTTATATCTCTTATTAAAATTTATTTAGGATTATATCGGGTTTAATAGGCTAAAGCCTTATATTTTTAAAGCTTTATATAATATAGCCCTTAGAAAAAATATTTCCGAATATCCTCTAAAGAAATAATTAGTATATAATTAGTAAAAGATTTAATGTAGTATTTATATTAAAAGACCGCATAAAATCAGTACAATCAAATTAGAATTCACTTTACTAAATATAATCCCGTAATATAACTTAATATATATATTTAAAGTATTGAAAGACGCCTATATCTATAGGTTATAAGAAATAAAAAGAATAGGGGGAAAGAAAAATAATGATAATATTAAAAGTATAGTAATAATTAAATAAATAAATATTGTAGTAAATAGAGAAAGAATTAAAAAGAAAATCAAACATAATTTACTACCTATTTATTCCCAGAGAGTATCTTTATCGAAGGTTATAACCCGCTTTTATTCTAGGTTAATTCCAAACCACTTTTTAAAGTCCAAATTATAGCGCTTAATTATAGCGTAGCGGATCTAAGAATAACAATTAAAATAGTAAATCCAATCTAGTATAATTTTAACGTTATTAAACGCTAAATTAAAGACGTTAAATTTTATATCCCTATTAAAATCTTTAATATACTCCTAATTAGCAGTTAACTATTTCTTAAAAATATTATACGTTAGAATAGCTTTGCCGGTAGCGCTTTTAAAATTTATTAAAGTTATCGATTCGTAGTTAGTAGGGTCGTTAATTTTAGGCTAAAAAAATTAAAATATTAATATAAATAATAGAAATTATAAAATTAAATATTTACTAACCTTCTTCTTCTTCTCCGTCTTTTCCGCTAGAATCTCGTAATTATCATTAAATATACCGATATAGCAACCTATTTCATTAACGTTCCAAAAACCAAAAGTTTTAATATAAAACTTTTTTATAATTTCAATAAATCTTTTAAAAAATTCAATAATAAACTTCAACTACATTTTAATAAACATTCTATTTACCTCTATAAATTTGAATTTAGTTAGTTCAAACTAAAGATAATCAACTTTCCACCTTATATAGAAATATTTATTAACTAACTTTGTAAGAGGGTTCCTACTAGCCCGTAACTTATTAATTACAGTTATTAATAAATCTTTAATTACTAAACTATTAAATTTAATAAACTAATAATATAATCTTCTAATACGCAATCTTCTACTTCTATAAACGTAGTAAGACGGCTACCGCGGCGCCTTCTATTAGGCCTAATATCATAGGGCTAGAGCCCAGGAGTTAAGTTTGGCTAATGCCAAGCTGTGTCCTACATTATCAATAGAGAGCCTACTTTATCGATAGTGAGCCTGCCTTATCGATAGGAATACAAGCCTTCTGGTTGGCTAGACCCGTATAACTGCCTGGCCTATACGCTCTAAGCGACCTATATAAAACCTTCTTTTGATTACACCCTTTTAATATGATCTTCATTTTCCTCTTTATTAAATATAGTATTTCACCTCTATACGACTATTCGCTATATAATATTTTTATAGACCTATTATATTATATTTAACCCTCTTTTTAAACACTCTATACTTTGCCTATACGCCCAAAGAGTTTCCCTCTTATTACTTTAATTTTTCGTAATATCCTTTCTATATTATTTTTATCTCCTTTAATAATACTGTCGTTCTCATTCTTTAACGGTAATTTCTCGCCGTCGCTTTTGTCCCTTAGCGATAATACCCCTCCCTCTATTTCTTTCGCGCCTATATTATTACTTTCTCGCTAGTATATTAAAAAAACCTCGCGCTCGCTTCGTTTGATTTCGTTCGCTCGTTTACAATTAATTCCAATTAAAATTACTACCTAAACCCCCGTCCCTCTTAATAGTAATACTAATTTTCTCCCTAAAATCCCTACGTAAATAAATTTGCTACTTATAATATAAGCTATCCGTTTACCTTTTTATATACTATTTTAAATAGTAATACTTTCTTTTAGTTTTTATTTCCGTTAAGTAAGCCCGGTTAAAAACGCTAACGATCCTTCGATATTAACGTCGTTAAGAAAGCTCTAAATTCTATTTAAATAAGGAAATAAAAGAGGAGAGAGGATAACAGTAATAGTAATTTTAGTCCGAAGAGTAATATTAATTTTATAAAAATAAAATTAATTTATTTCGACTCAGTAGGGGCTTAAACGGTTACGATAATAATAATTTAAAAAGAGGAGGAATTTAATTAAATAGCAGTCTTTATTAATAAAATTAATAGGAGACGCTTTAATAAAATTATAATAGAAAGAGTATTAATTAAAGATTTAAAAGGAGGGATTTTTAATAATTAGGAAAGGTAAGGTAAGGTTATAACGTAGGAAACGCTAATTTATTTACTTTCGTCGTTAATAATATAAGAAGTCTTTAAACCGTTACCCCTTTACGCGTAGCTAATAGGAAGTTAGTATTTATTATAATATGTAATTATAAAAGGGTAGTAGATATTATATTTTGTAGGTATAAAAATTATTAAAGTCGTTCCTTAGCGAGGGAATTATATTAAAGTATAATTATAATAGTAATAATAATTACTATTAGTAGGAGAAATAGAATAATATAAAATACTAAATAATTACTTTAATATTAATTATTATATAGTAAATAGATTTTTATTTTAATAGAAGAGGGCCGTTAGATTAGGTAAAGTATAAATATATTCCCTAATTTAATTTTAGTTCCTATATACTAAGGAAGTAACTTTATAAGGGTAAGTGCCTAGTAAGGTACCGCTGACTCGGGTAGTAAGTAAGTAGTTATATAGCGTTTATTTAAGGGTTTAAAGAGGGGATTCCTAAATTTTCTAATATTATTAATTTCTTCCCCGTTTAGATAGGTATTTGGTAAGGAGCAGTTATTAATAGATTTCATTACCTTTATATAATTAATTAATACTTTGTACAGTAGACTACCTTTTTTAAGGGGGAGTAGGGGGGTAATATTATAGGGCTAGAGCCCAAGGGTTAAGCTTGGCTAATACCAAACCGTATCCTACATTATCAATAGGGAGTTTGCTTTATTGATAGGGAGCCTACCTTATCAATAGGGATACGAGCCTTCTAATTAGCTAGACCTGTATAATTGCTTGGCCCGTACGCTCTAAGCGACTTACACAAAACCTTCTTTTGATTGCACCCTTCTGGTGTAGTCTTCCTTTTCCTCTTTGTTAAATATAGCATTTCAACCTTATACGACTGCTCGCTGTGCAATACTCTCGCAGACCCGTTACACCTAATTAAAAACCGAGAAAAATAATTCTTAATTATAACTTATAGACTATAGTAACTAACTTAGGACTTGGATACGCTAAATTTAGCAACAATATCACAGATAGATAGCCGTTTTAATAAGATACTATTATTATTATTATTATTATTATTATTATTATTATTATTATTATTATTATTATTATTATTATTATTATTATTATTATTATTATTATTATTATTATTATTATTATTATTATTATTATTATTATTATTATTATTATTATTATTATTATTATTATTATTATTATTATTATTATTATTATTATTATTATTATTATTATTATTATTATTATTATTATTATTATTATTATTATTATTCGGGGAAGAAATAATAATACGGGTTTAGCTTCAGGTAAATCGCTTATTAGAAGTCTAACGTTGAATTTATTATACGTATTAAGCTTAAAGCCTCTTATCCTCTTATTATTAATTATAATAACGTTATTTCCGATTAAATTACCGAATAGCCTTTTTAATTAGAAGTTCATCGTATTCGCTATCCCTAATTTTAATATTAGAACCGATATTAATATCGGCGTTACTATCAGCGTTAGTAGGGATATCGGTAGAGGTATTAATAAAGTAGTCGTAGCGGAGGAAGTTAGAATTAAGTTATTAAATATTAGAATTTAATTAAGGACTACTTAAATTTTCTTTATCCTCTTTATTTATATCCTCCCCGAGGTCCGAATTATTAAGGTATAATATTATAATTAGTATTAATACATTCGCCAAGTAAAAAACTACTAAATAAAAGTAAAACTTTAGTAATCGGAACCTATTCGGTAGAGTTATAGCGTTTTAAAATTAATAAGAAACGCTATAACCTTAAAAGGGTAGGTTTGGTTTAGGGAGTTATAGTGAAATAGTTATTATAGTAATAAGTATACAAATTAGTGTAGCGGATTAGCGAAGAAAAGAGGAAGAGAATGATAGTTCAATTATTTTTTTTAGTCAAGTATTAATTTATTTATATTGTTGCAAAGTTGGAAGGTAGGGTTTTGCCCTATTTGGGTTGCATTTTTGCTGTTCGGTTGGGTTTTGGACTGTCCGGTGGTTTTGGCACCAACTCTGTAGAGCAGAATTGGGGAACAGACAGGAACTGTCAGCCTCACCAACGGGTATGACGAAAGAACTCTACGTCAATACTTTACGTCAACGGTTTCTGAAGATGGACGCGACAAAATCAGCGCGTCGTTCTTATGAGAATGTGAAGTGTTGGAATTGAGTAAAGAGTTAGTCTGATAGTGCGTATTTACCTAACCACTAACAGAAAGAAGAACGCCGGGCATGTGCTCTCCCCCGGGCCCCGTAGTAAATAAGCTGCCCCACAAGGCCACGAAGCGAACGGTCCATCCTTCTCCTGTCACGGTGATACCTTGCTGTGTACGGTCTCCCGTAATTTTACATTGGCCGTGCCATTCTCCCATCCATCCGCCCTCGGTCCCGTCGACCTCGAATCTGTTTCAAATTGTCCAGACCCTGGGAATTGTTCGTTGACGACAGTTCTCCTCCTTGGTTGTTTAGAGCAATTACACAACCCATCTCCGGCTATTACCCATCTACCTCTAGCCATCGCATCCCCCGGGCCGTGACAAGTCCAGTGGAAGGAAAGCTGGGGATCGACAACCAAGCAAGCAATTACACAATTACACGCCCATTTCGATCCTAATCCCAATTCCAATTCCAAATTCCACCGAACGTCCCCCTTGTCGGCCACGGCGCAGACCGACCGCCGTGAGACGAGCGAGGCTTCCACTTCCCACGCGACCAAGAGACCCCGTCTGTCATCTGTCTTCCCGAACGTCTCTCTCCCCGAGTCCCGTACATACCTTGACCTAGGTAGCTTTGAGGTGGTACTACGCGACAAGAAAAAAAGAGTCCCAAACGTCGCAATTCTCCGAGACCCCGACCGCCTCGACGAACAGAATCCCATCCCATCCATGTTGACGACAGTACCTTCCTACAACCACAAAGACGCTCTTTTTGCCCGCCAATTCCGATAATAATCTCTTTGGTTCCTTTGCTCCCCTTGTCAAGTATACTACCATCTTTCCCCTCAACAACCCATTCTCGCTTCGATAGCTTGCGCCTCGCTCCATAACTTGGATATAATCATACCCCCGACTCCCCCAAGGTAGTAATCGCAGTCGTTGGTGGCCAGAAGCGGATGCGGACCGGGTCCCGTCCCGACGGCGCGGAGTGATGCAGACGGCAAAAGGGAAGGCCGAGGCGCTTGGACGGAAAGCCAAGGTGTGTGTGAGAGAGAGATGTGCTTGGGTTGCGTTGCTTTGGCTTTGCTTGCCTGCCTCGATCGAGCCTGCTTACTCCCCCCCCTAATCCCATCCATTCATCCGTACGATCAACATTGCAGGAATGGGAATGCTGACACTGCAGTCTTGCCCACCACAGCTTGCGAGTTCATATCAGGAGTTGCTCGAGTAGGTTCACCAATAACACTCCTCGGACGAAAGAAGTCGCAATTCGCTAATCATGTTCTGTCGTCTCTTCTGTTGCGCAGCGAGTTCTCGAGCAAAGACCTACGATCGGTTGGAAACTATACCCTCGGACGACTGATTGGCAAAGGATCCTTCGGCAAGGTCTACTTGGCCACGCACAAACTTACAAATGGCTCCAAGGTGCGTTGCCCTGGTGGCTTGGTCCCTGAAGCCTCTTTCTGCCCCTTCCGAGACACTCGGGACTAATGTTCTTTTCTCTTCGGTCGCATATATAGGTCGTGCTCAAGTCAGCCAACAAGGATGACACCAACCTCGCTCGCGAAATCCATCACCATCGCCAATTCGTCCACCCGCACATCGCCCGACTATACGAGGTGGTCGTAACAGAGAAATTGGTGTGGATGGTGCTAGAATATTGTCCAGGTACGAAACAAGCACAGAGGTCTCCTTCGACATCACACCTTCTTCGACCGTACGCGCCCTTTCTAAATTACAATGATGTGTTTCACAGGCGACGAGTTGTACAATTACCTCCTTCAACATGGCAAACTATCGGTCGACAAGGTTCAGAGGATCTTTGCGCAACTGGTGGGCGCCGTGTGCTACGTCCATCGACAATCCTGTGTCCATCGGGATCTGAAACTGGAAAACATCCTCCTCGACAAACACGAGAACGTCAAGCTATGCGACTTTGGTTTCACACGCGAATATGAGGGCAAGGCCAACTATCTCCAAACGTTTTGCGGCACCATCTGCTACTCGGCTCCGGAAATGCTAAAGGGCGAAAAGTATGCGGGCGAAAAGGTGGATGTCTGGAGCTTGGGAGTCATTCTTTACGCCCTTCTCTGCGGCGAGCTTCCCTTTGACGACGATGACGAGCAAGTTACCCGGCGAAAGATTCTTAGCGAGGAACCAGACTACCCCGATACCCTTCCGGCAGATGCGCTGTCTCTTTTAAAGATACTACTATCGAAACGGCCCCTAATACGACCGTCCCTGCCCGATATCCTCGCCCACCCGTTTCTCGCCGAATACGCACCACAACAACAAGAGATCCTCAAAGTCGAGCAACCACCGCCATTCTCGACGCCGCTGGAAAAGGAGACGTTACATCGGATGCGAAGCGCTGGGGTGGATACAGAGGCGGTGATGGAGAGCGTCATAGCCCAGAAGTGTGACGCCCTTGCTGGCTGGTGGACGCTACTGATTGAGAAGGAGGAACGGAAGGCGGCAAGGAGGGAACGAAAGCGCAGGGAAAAGGAGGAGAACAGAACCTCGAGGCGGTTCTCTCAGGCTTCCAGTCGACTCAATGCTTTGGCTACGGTGGAAGAGTCACAGTATGCTCAGTTTGGAGAGCAGCCACAAAGACCACGAGGGCGGAGCGAGAGGAGACGGAGCGGACCCTACCCGGCTTTGCTCATCCCAGATATGCCCAGCTTTTCCGACTATCCCAGAAGCGCAACTGAACCTCGCATTTCCACCGAGGGCGATATTCCACCACCGCCGGTTGATAAGGATTCAATTAGGGGTAGATCTACGAGTTCCTCGCGGCATAGGAAGCCGATTCCTCCGCCCAAGGAGGGTATTCTGAGGAGTGCGCGATCGAGAGGCTCCACTCTTCATTTGGTCACTACGAGTGAAGTTCTGGACTTGAACGGTACCTTACAGCTGCCTGATGACCAAAATCAGGTAAAGAAGAGGCCATCCAAGACCAAGATATTCTGGAAGAACTGGACACATTGGCTCTTCGAGAGTACGCGGCGGCATAAGAACTCCCAGAAGCGTGCCAGCCAATCGACCCCTAACCTGGCGGAGAAGGCTGCCGAGCAGAGAGCGAAGGAAGGCAAATCGAAGGACGGGGAGAGTCCACGGCCGCAGACGAGCAAGTACCCGGCAGCGAGTTCTCCCATGACAGCGGGCACGGCTGGCCTACCTAAGGGTGTGGTGGCCAACGGCTACGCTAGCAAAGCATCACCGGCGCTCTCCGCAAGCTCTGCTCCGTTTAAGAACAGTAACGCTTCCGTCGGCCTTTCGAGTTCGCTGCCGTCCTCCTTGCCACCAATTCCACATACATACACGTCAGGTTCCTACAAGCGACAGTCCCTGTCGCCATCACCCATAACACCGCGCTCCACCATGCGGCGAGCGTCTGGCACCGCGGGCCTTCGCGGCAGGAAGTCCACCTCTTCGTCTGTCTCCTCTATCCGTTCAATGCACCACACGCACCACCATTCCCACAGCAAAGCCAGTTCTACCTCCTCCAACAACTCCGTTTCTACATCGGTCTCGAAATCCGCCCTACAAGCCAGTCGCAGTCCACACCACTCCGTCAAGGTCCTCCCCGCCACGCCAACAACTGTCGGCTTCCCAAGCAACATCCGCTACGTCCGCGACCGCACCGGGCCGCCCCTAGGCATCGGCAGCATCGGCGGCCCCAGTCTCTTTGCCAACCCGCCCAGTGACTACGGCTCTCACGACAACGGCCGCCTCAACGCCGCCTTCCTCGGCAATGGTGGCGGCGGTGGCCTCTCCGCCCTCAACACCAACACGCAGTACTACCACCTCCCCCCCGCCCCTGGCTCCCCCAACCCCTTTGCCTCGGTCAACTCGGGAGGCTATTTCGCTCCGAGGGCAGCGGGTACCGGATCGCCTGTGGTTGGACCCGGTGGCCATGGCGGCGTGATGTTCGCCAAGAGGAAGAAGAATATCTTCAAGGGCCCGATGCTCAACTTTGGCGGCAGTGCTGGCGGCGCTAGTGCTAGTAGCAGGCAGAGAGAGGAAAGGAGTAGTAGTGGTGCGTCCGGGTCGGCTTCGGCGAGTCATTCTAGGAGTGCGAGCGCTAGTGGTCTGGGACGGAGGAGTGGGGAGATTACGATCCAGGAGGAGGAGGAGCCTGGGGAGGAAGAGGAGGAGGAACATAATGCACATGGTGGCTATGGCGGTGGGGGTTACAATAGCCACTGGGGCGGAAGCAGGACGGGCGCAGGTTGGGGAGGACCAGGGATGGCGGGCATGGAAGAGGAAGAAGAGGTCGAAGAGGTGGATAGCTTTAGCCCGATCATCAGCGGGCCAGGCGAGATTGTGGAGGAGAGGATCATTGAGGATGGGGAGGAGGAAGAAGACGACGACGAGGCCGATGAGAGTGCGGATGAAGGGACGATTACTGATCAGAGATCGAGAAGGTCGAGACCTAGGTCGCAGGATCTTGAGGAGGAGGAAGAGGGGATGGATGCCATTGGTGACGCCCGGTCGAATCCGAATCCCAACCAGACTCCAACGAGGCCGAGCGCACACGACGAAGAGGAGGAGGAAGATAATGTCGATGTCGGTGAAGGGTTCAAAGGGCTCGGGTATGATGTCGGAATCGCGATAACTGCGGACTCCCACAGGCTGAGCACCGACGGGCCGCTCTCGTCGTCAACTATTCGGGTTGTTCCGGAACAACATCAACAACAACAGGGACGCGGGCACAGGAGAGGATGGAGTAATGGTGGTAGTGGTGGTGGTGGTAGCGGCAGCGGTGGAAGTAATGCCCATGGCGGGAATAATGGGGAAGGACCGGCGGCGAGTAGCAGTACTACCAAGGTTAGCAGATGACGGTTAGTGAGGCGGGCCTTGCATATAACTAATAAGTAAAGTGCGTGTGTAAAGAAGGGATAGGCAACAACAAACCTACCGGGCCAGGAAAACAACGATCGATGGAAATTGAATTAAACTGAACGGAACTGAGCTGAACGGGATTGAGAGACGGATGGGTGGATGGGATGGAAGGAAGGGGGGCCTGCTTATACCACTTACACTTACACTTGCACACACTTGCACATTTTTTTCTACCTTTCTTTTTTGTTTATACAACTATACATACATGTACCATACCATACATAGAGATACCTAACTACTACATAGCTGGTCTCGAGGGACGACTCGTTGGACTAGTTGGACACGAGGAGGAGAAGGAGGCCAGGATGGGGATGGGGATGGGGGGTAAAGATGGAGATGAGATGGGGGATGGGCAAAGAGCTGGTGGAAAAAGCTGCTGGGGTCCTGTTGTCTACTTTTTTACACTTCACTTCACTTCTTTTTTACTTTACATGAGCAAGGGCCGCCTCACTTTACCTTACCTAGAGGTACTTATACCTCTTCACGTCACTTTTTTTTTTATCCTTTTGGTTGTTTGTTTAGAAAGTTTTAAGATACCATTTACTTTTGAGAGCTCTATCTATCTAATTGTTTACCTAACTTAATCGGTGTGGAGAGAGAGAGAGGGAGAGGTGGAATTGGAAGAGTGAAGTAGAAGAGTGAAGTGAGGGAGATGAGGAGTGATGCGGGCCGAATTGGTAGGAAATTGAACTGCTAAGACACTCTGACGCAAAGTCCCCGCAATAATAATCTCTAATTGGATAGAACGGTAAGGAATTAACTAAAGCAGAAAGATATGCACCCAAAAGAGAATTTAATTGACGAAGTGGTCATTGTTTTATCGCAAGCCGGCGTAGCAGCACCCTGTGGGTTGTATGAGCATTTCCGCTCTACCGCATCTAGGTACACTCACTCGCTCGTAACGGATATGCTCTTTCGGGGAAGGCCAGGCCTTGTACGGGGTGTTTTTAGCCCGCTCCTAGCAAGAGGTACATATGCAGCATCTTGCCAACTGGATTGGCTCATAATCCTAGTATAATCGTTTCCACACTCAAGCGCCTTGTCAGTCTTGGCGCGCTAGTTGTATTAAGCTAGCTACAACACTGACTTGAATATAGATTTGACAGATTGACCAGATTTAACTGTCTTAATCAACGTAAAATTAATTGTATCACATCGTAAATTATTAAAATCTACAATAAAAAACTAATATTTCAATATTAGTATATTGGCCATCGTTTTATTTAGCGTTTTTATTATCTTTACTATTGTTAAAGCTATATAATATAGTGAACTTTCCTAATTCGAACTAGCGAGCCGTCGTAAATTTAATATTCTATAACAACGAGCCTATTAAAAATATCGCTATAACCATTGGCATTTATAAGCATATAGTATATCGATATAAACGTAATTTTAATATTACTAGTAAGCTAGTATTACCTTCTCGAGCGCCCTAAAATTCCAGGAAGCTCCCTATATAGGCTATAGAAATATACTCGTAACTATAGTAACCGTAATTATTGTACTGTAATTAACGTCGTAAAGGAGGTTATAAAATTATTAGTATTAAAACTATCACTATACTTCGATAAGATTTATACCTTCTTAGTTAACGAATACGATATATATGTATCGATTAAGATTATATGGCGCTATCTATATTAGGAGCGTTGGAAAAATACGAGGTTAGCGTCCAAAGCGGTATAGTAGGAGCCTAAATTAGTAGTAGAATAAGTAATAAAAATTCTATTATTTATTATAAAGATATTTATTTTTTATAATAAATTTAGTATAAATCGACACGATAGAGTTCGTTATATTAATTAGGCTCCCCATAGTACTATCGCAATAATATCGAACCGCTTTAAGCGTAGTAAGCGGTATTATATTCTCCTAACTATATCGGTTAATAGCGTATTCGAAATACTAGTTTTTAAAAGATAAATAAATACCTTGGGGTTTATTAAATAATTAAAAGATCGCCTCCTCCCTATAATAAATCCCTTTCCTAATCGTAATAATATTTTAATAATAGATAACGCAAATTAATATGTATATAATAAATTCTATTATGCGTATATAAGTACGGGTATATTACTCTAATATTTATTACTATACTCCTTAGAATTTAATCTAATCGAAACGTACTTTAGTATTTTCAAAAAGTATATAAAGTGAGTATATAATAACGAAGGTAGCGATAGGATGGCCAATAAAGATTTCCCTATCTTCCTCCATCGAATTACTAAAAGTATTAGGTATAGAATGCAATAGATCCGTAGCTACTTTAAGAACGCTAAACTAATTTTAGAGGGGGTTAATAATATTAATAAAGACTATACGACTCTATATACTAGCCAACTAAAGGAATTTGAAAAAATTAGTAACGTTACTAGGCAAAAGTAAATAAGGAGGGTAATTAGGTAGTATAAGGGGTAATATATAATTTATAATATAATCTAGTACCAAAAATGTTAAAAATACTCGAAGTGCACTTATCTATGTAATAATAAAAAGAAGGTATTAGAAGTACTAAAAATACTAAATAGAGTGCTAATATTTATCTATATAATAATAAAAAGAGTATATAAAAGTACTAGAAATATATAAAACTCCCTTTATAACTAGAATAGTCTACCTCTTTTACTATAATTCGTTTTATATATTATAACCGCTAGTAGTAATATTACCTACTAGAAAAGTAAATACTTTCGTAATGCTAAGTTCGAAGGCGGTAGTATCGGTCGGTCGAAGCTACTTGCTTAGGCAATTATTAGCTGCTCTTATTTAAAGAAGGTTTTAATACTACTCTTTAAGAAAGTATAAAATTCATGTATAAAACCTAATTTTATAAACCATTCGATTAATTAGTCCTTAAGCGCTATAATATCCCTAACGGGACCGTTTAGTTCTCTAAATACCTCCCGTAATATAATTAGAGCCTACAATATATTTACTACTACTGGGGTCTTTCCGAAATAGTAGTCCCGGTAGAAGGTCTTGAAGAATTTGATAATAAATTAACTTGGGGTACGGTTACGTAGCGGGGGTAGTAGCGGAGAGGAAGGAGTTAGAAAGAACCGTAATAATTCTTCTTCGTCGGTAATAAATAGTAGTATAATTAAGGGAGATACTAGAGGTATAATTAAGAGCAAAATAGAAGGTGCCCATATAAATATAATAGACGAGGGTGGAGGGTTACATTTAGCTATTAAAGTTTTACAGTTAGTAGGGTAACTATAGAACGCGGTAGTCTAATAATTAAACGGCGCGTTTAAGATGGCGTTTAGTAGGGTTACTATAGTGCCCGGTATTAATATAGTAATAGTAAAGGTAACTATAGTAAAAGAAGAAGGAGGTATAAGGTAAAAGCGAGCGTAAATGTATAGTACTAAATAGTACTATTGCGGATATATACTTTTATAACGCCTTCGCTATTAAAATTATTATTATTATTATTAAATTAAGTAGCTATAATAATCTTTATATAAATTATAGCCTTATTCCTCCTATTATTATTATAAACGCTAGCGGTATATGTAATGCTATAAAGGATAATTTGGTACTTAACCCTAGCGGCGGCCGTGTTAGTAATAATCTCTTAGGTATACCCTTTTTATAAACGGAGGACCTCCCCAAATAGGGTTATCTCAAACTACTAGTTATATATTTTACTATTCTCTTATTCGACTTCGATTTCTTAATAATTCCCGCGGTTAAGAATAGTAGGGGGCTTAATTTTAAAGGTAATAAAGTACGACCTTATAACTATAAATTCTACCCAAATATAAGAAGGGAGAGCGGGCTTAGGAGGTAGCGCGATTTATTTGCAGGCCTATGGCTAGGTTAGAGCCCGCGGCTAGATTAAAGTACGCGGGTGGGTTAAAAGCGCCCGGATTGGGGATACCGTATTCTTATTATTATTAGAAAAATAGAATAAAGTATTAATAGCCTTCTTTTTAGAGGTAAAGTAAATAAGGAAATTAAAAAACTATTATTCCTCCTCCTCCTCCTCCTCCTCCTCCTCCTTTTCCTTTTCCTCGTCGTTATCGAATTCGCTATCGGAGTTACTAGAAAATTCGATAGGGGCTAGCCGTATAAGCGGGAAAGAGGGTACGGAGGTAACTTCGGCTTCGGTCTCAGGTTTTAGAGAGGGCATTAATTCTAGAGAGGGCTCTAGCGCGGGCGCCTTTCCTTTCCTCTTATTCTTAGGAGCAACCTTCTTAGGGGCGGCCTTCTTAGGAGCAACCTTCTTCTTAGGGGTAGCCTTTTTAGGAGCTTTCTTAGGGGTAGCCTTCTTAGGAGCCTTTTTAGATAAATTAGCAATAGATTCCTCCTCTTCAAATTCAATGAAAATACAACTCTTTTTTATAGGGCGGATAGAGGTACGTATTAGTTAATTCGAACCTTAATCCTCGTCGAAGTGGACTGAAGTAACGCTAGCGCGACGAATCTACTTCTAATTCTTCTTCAAAATCGACTTAGGAGGCATTATCGCAATAGTTTAATTAATTAATTGAATACAACTACTTTATTTACTTTATACGATGAAAGAGGATATATGGCGCTTCAATTTTGTACAGAAATCGTGTAAAAAGACGATATTTTACGATGTGTGTGTGTGTTCTCGCTTGGTTGTTGTGGCCAGCTCAGCAAAGTCTTGGCAACTAACAAGGCGCTTGAGTGTAGGAACGGTAGATAGCGGCACGGCCCGCAGATTCATGTTAATATCAACTGCCCCATGAGCCATGTTGGCCTTCGTTTTTATTCATCTACAAACACTGGAGGTTTCGACTGGAAAATGCCATCTTCAACTTCAATATGAACCTTCAGGCCCAAATTTGGGTCTCTCTAATACGCTGCTCGATCTTTGCTTTCCCTCCAACATAGAGGTTGTATGTGGCTCTTGTTTGAAATTGACCTGACGGGCGATGTAACTCACTTGGTAAGCAAAAGCTAGAGAAACAACATGTCTCTGTCTTCCATCTTGGACCACGTCACCCTTTTGGTCTACAATACATTTTGAACCGTGAGCGTCGGCACTCTTACGGTGTCGACAGCGCACTTTCACAGTCGCCAAGCAAGTAACGTCACAGATCTTGGAATGGAGAGGGGGTTTGGCGAACATGTCAGAAGTCAAAAGGGAAAAGCACCGGCAAAAGAGGAAGGACGTTTTGATAGAGGAAGAGGCTAATCCATGCATTGTAACTGAACATGTCGAGACTCCATGTTCAAGACTCTTCTATCACAAAGTTTCGTGGATATCGTCAGATCTCATCACATACATTGCAGATGTCCCAAGACATAGAGAGGAAAGTGTCAGTGAGGGCCAGGACATCAAAAGGTGCGTAGTGAAATGGTCACTGCCGGAACATGCCTCGCGGACTGGATACCTAGAGGTATATAAAGGCAGAGTGTTGGAAACTTTAAAGTACTATCAACTCATCCTTTCTACAAGGCTCCATTCATTCTCCCAATCTCATCTCACCCAGTCAGCTACTACATACCTAGCCAGAATTATCAGCTCCGCCAGTCTCTCCTTTGCCGTGCTCACAACCTTTGGCCTTCTCAATCTCGTCACTGCGGTCCCTACCACCCCCCTTAACTCCCCCGTTCATGAACGGGACACCCCTACCACCCGCTTCTCCTTCGCCAAATGGGTAGACGACATCATTGTCAACCCCAAGACCGCCCTCACTTCGGAACAAGCATGGCAGGCTTATCTTGACTCGACGCTCAACGGTACTTCAGTTGCCTCGACTACCGCTACTGAGGATCATGGCCTAGGGGAGGTAGACAAGCGATGGGATGCTGCTGTGACATGTAACGGCACCCCCGTTCCCCCGGCGCGGGTAAGTTGATGTTATGGGAAAGCACTTGACCAGTTTGTAGTGTAGCCAGATCACAACGACGACGAACTGACACTATCGGTACCTCTACCAACCATATAAAAGACCGAATACGCTGTTGCCTGTATAAATTATCTTGCTAAACTCGGCCCAAGAGCTTGCTCCGCCGATCCGTTGTCTTCCTTCTGTAAAGCCGATCAGTGGGCCGAGATCACGGGCACTACCTGCAATCCTGGAACCTCTAATTGCGAATCTTGGAGTTCTTGGTGAGTTTACCTAGGTACCTTTTCTTCTTCTTCCAGTCTCTTACCTGTTGTTTCATGCCCTTCAATTGCGTTATCTACCGTACTATTCTACCATTTTTCTCCTCCCCGTTTCAATGTTGTCCAGTTCGGACAGGTACATACCTCTACCTAGGTACTCATCTATAGGGTATTGAGCGTGCGACTTAATGTGAGCTAACCTATCACATGAACTGTACTAGCCAGGAAGTTGCTCGTACTGCCGGTCTCATCATGGACACATGCACGTATTCCGTCGGATCGGAATTGTACATACAGGGCCAGCGCATGAATTATGCCTTTGATAAGAATCCGAAGGCGAACATGATGGTCTGGGTTCGAACTGTCACTCAATTTGTAGAGCCGCACTGTGGGTATGTGGGACCTTAAAGAAACAAATATGGGGATTTGTCATTTGTGTAGTATGTGTGTAGGGTAGATATTCTCGCTTCCCATCCCCATCCTCCCTACAACCGAGATCATCATCATGTTCATTTCTCTTCTGGAGACCAACCTGGATCATTCATCCCCCATCCCACCCAGACTTGACTTTTTGCCTGACATCCATCGCATATGTGGTATGCCCTCAACCCTTACGAGCACTGCGAATAATAATCATTCTGCTTCTTGCAAGTATACGGGCTCGCACAGGTAGTGCACCCAGAGAATCCAATCCCACCGCACTGCGCCCACTGGGCAGCCGTGCAACCAGTAGGCTGAGCAACAACACTCGTCTTCAGCGTAGTGCTGGTAGCAACCGCCTTGCTAGTAGTGCTCGTAGCCACAACCGAGCTGACCTTGCTGGTGGTAGTAGTCGTCCCCGGGCTGGGGTTAGAACCACCACCACCACCACTTCCGGAACCACTGCAGGTAAACTTGGCCGGGCCAGGAATGGTGTAAGCGCTGCTCGTGCCCATGGAGTAAATGTTGACGAGGAGACCAGGGTCAGTGGCCTTGTAGATACCCGGGATCGAGTAAGTAGAGGGTGAGGCGGTGCCGGTGCCGCCGACGATGTTGATTTGCGCGCATTCCATGTACAGCTGGGCGCCGGCGGTGGAGGAGGCGGCGTGCAGGGCGATCATCTCGGCGCGGAGGAGGTATTGGCCCGAGGGGATGCAGGATGGGATGTCACTGGGAGGTGGGAGGTTAGTATGGGTGAAAAGGGGGAGGAGGGAGGAGGTTAAAAGGGAGAGGAGGGAATGGGGAGGTGGGATGAGAGAAAGGAAACAAACGTACATGTACTGGAATCCACCGTTGCTGATGACGGTGCTGGTACCCCATTGGCCGTTGTTGTAGCCGTCTTCTTGGATCTTGAACCTATTTTCTTGGGTGTTAGTGACTACCTAGCAAGATTTGAAGGAGGTTTTTGTCGATCTTTCTCAAAGAGTAGGGGACACTCACCATCCACCGCCGATACCAGTGTCAGTCAGGGCGTTATCGACCTTCTTGAGGTATGCAAGGGTAGGACCCTTGTGGCTGGCATCCATGACATCGTCGGCGCCGGAGGTGAGAGTGTGTCTCCAGATGGCCTTGACGGTGCTGCCGGCGTTGACGGTGATGATCTTGTCGGAGGGAGTGGTGGGGTTGGGGCCTCCGTTGCAGGCAAGGTCGTTGGAGGTCACGTCGGTGATGGGACCATCGTAGGACGGAGTCCGGATGCCGTAGGAGACCGGGTAGGTGGTACCGCCGGCCTCGAGCTGGACGAAGATGGTGTGGGCTGAGGCCGCGGAGGCGGCGGCGAGGAGGGAGAGGACCTTCATCTTGTCTGTACGGAAGTTTGAGAACTTGAAGGGATCTACAGATTCACATATGTTACGGACCCGAGAGCGGGAAGTGAGTCGTTCATATATGTGCTACTTCATGGCGGGTTGCCACTCTCGCCAAGGCTGAGAAAGCATGAGGTTCAACCTGTGGAAGGATGATTAAAGGGTCGTCATGGTCGTTTCTGGACGCATGGGAAGCCACAATGTCACTGTCGAGGTCGTATTCTCTCCCTTTGGGCCGTGTCTCCTAGGGCCAAAACCGGGACGCTAGAAGCAAGGCCGCCATGCGGCGCTTGGCGAGGGCGGAAGAAGGCCGTCCGGAGTAGCAACACATCCGGATCGGGATAGTCACTTGAAGTTTCAGGGTTGGATTCGCCGCGATGCCGGACGTCAAGGTGCCGCGACGGATGGAGACGTTAATATAGCCGTACAGGATATTTATATTGGGACGCGTGGGGACTGCATGACGGGTCACATAGCGTCTTGCTCCCGTGGCTTATTTGTGTATCAGCATCTTGGGACCCAGTAGCGCAGGAGTTGCGGTCGATTCGAGCCGAAGCTTCTCTGCATCGCGTACACAACGATCGATCTACGTAGGAGGCTGAGATGGAAGAACTAGACATTGATTTTGTTACTCTATGTAGTATCATGGACAATAAGAGAGTGACCGTAGAACGGTTCATGAACTGACGACGCTTCTAATCGATGAAGGACTTGTTGTTGCGATATTGTAGTCCCGTCATTGTCGACCATCTTAGCTCCAGATCAATGTTAAGAAGATGAGATTAAAGACAACCGGGCTTGGAGTGGAAGATGGTGAGAGTAAGCGTGTCGGGGCAAAAGGGAGCATCTGCCGGCAATGGTCACGATGGACCGTTGTTTTCGGCCCATGATCCGATGTTGTTCTGTTGTTGATATGCACCACCGTAGAGGAACAAATAAGGGGTACTGGCCAGCTGCCAGCTAGGCACGTTCCACCTAGTCCACCTGGCAAAGTCCCACAGTTGCATTGGACCCGCAAGCCGATGCGGGGGTGCAGTAGCGCTTGCGGGGGAAGATGCGCCGAAGCAAGCGAGGGTTAGGGTCTGTCCAACGTCCTCTGTTCAGTTGTCAAAACACCAAATTGCGATGGTCACAAAACATCACCAGTTTTCACGAACAGCCTAACTCACTTTTACCGAACAGTATAGTTGTTCACATCACTTGAAACACCGCTTCCACAATGTTCAAACATTGGAGTACCCGATTGGGCCATCAGTCCTGCTTTTCGCTGAACAGGACTGGTGTTACTTAAATGTCAAGGTTCTCCCCTTTGTTTGTTGTATCGTTGTCGTGGTGATATCAACAGTCACCACCACAAATCGATGGTCACCACATCTAGACTTCCCAGGTCGCTTGACGGTTTAAAGGGCCGTCCACGTCGGCCCAAACTTCCCACCAATTCTTCCTCTGCTTCCTCAAGTCAACAACTGGACATCAACCCAATCTGCTGACAATCCAAACCAGCTATCCTACATCAAGGACAACACAAGCACACACTGCACTAGCAGCAACAACAATTCATATTTCATCAGGTAAGAAATACTATTCATCACTTGATCCATCTCACATCATCTCTGTCTTCCGACGAAGCATCTTTCGTCATTGCGCTGCTAGCGAGCTTACTAACAACATCGCTTGTCAATAGAAACAACAACCACAACACAACATCGTCATGTCACACCTACATCTCCGCGAGGCCATGGCTTTGCCTTCTCGTATCGCCCAATATCTCAAGAGACACCAGTCCAACCCCCAGATGAAGCGCAAGTCTGGCAAAGTCCTTAAGAAGAAGCGCCAAGACGCCGTCTATCAGACGGTCCAATCCACCAACCCCAATCCCCGGAAGCGTTCCAGTGAAGAAATCACTGATGCCACTCGCGATGCCTTCATTGACCGCTTCATCGATGCCGATGCAGCGCCTCCCCAAAAGCGCCCCAGATGGCCTGTCGTTGAAGAACGCGACGAGTTCCGTCCTTTTCGTCCACGAAAGCGCTCAAGTGACGAATTCGAAGAAGTGTCCTCCGATGCATCCAGTGATCGCTTTGTTGATGCAGATGCTCCTCCCCCTCAGAAGCGTCCCAGATGGCCAGCTGCAGAAGACTGTGATGAGCCCATTTCTTTCCCGGAGAAGCGACCTAGATCACTTGCAGAAGAAATTGCCGATGCCACTGCACATGAAGACATGGACCCATTCAATTGTGAAGAACTAGCCTCCCCCGCCCAGCGCTTCAGATCGCTCGCTGAAGAGATCGCTGATGCCACTAGCCACGAAGACGGTGAAGCCTTCGATGATGATGATGATGAAGGTGATGAAGCTCCTTTCACCGCTCGCTTCAGGTCGCTTGCTGAGGAGCTTGCCGATGCACTTGCGAGCGAAGGTGACGACGAATTTGATGAAGACAAACAGGCTAACTTCCCCAAACGCCGCTCGCTTGCCGACGAGCTCGCTGATGCTACTGCCGATAAAGATGGCAACCCCTTTGAGGATGAAGATCTCACTGTCCATCATCTCCCCACATTGCTCGCTGCTGACACCATGGGCGCCGCCATCGCTGAGGCTGGTGATCCATCATATCTCGAGGTATGTTTTCTCTTGCTAGAATCGTTACATAGCGTCTTTACTAACGATATTCCCAGGCCATCATTGATCTTGCTCATCTTTCATTTGACCATTGCAACCCCACTTCTTTCAGGCCCCCTCGATCGCTTGCTGAAGAACTTGCCGAAGCCATTGCTAACGAGGACATCGAGCCCTTTGATGACCCAGACGAGATTTTGTCCGGACTTCCCGAACTTACTGATGACGATGACAGTAACTCCATTGTTGATGGGTCTTTCGGAGAGCACCAGAATTCACTAACCGAGGAAGAAAGCCCGTCACTCGATCACGAAGCCCTTGTTTCTCAACTTCAAGGAAGATCCCTCGCAGAGGAGCTCTTTGACGCAACTTCTGACGAAGAGGGCGACCCATTTGAAGGAGATACAGATTTCCAGCTGCGCTTCCACTCACTAGAGGAACAGATTGCCGACGCCATGTCCCACGAAATCGGCCAAGGACTCGACGATATCGACTCCGCCCCCCTCATGCGCCTAGACTCACCAGCCAAGAAACTTCTAGACTCGATCGCCAACGAGGATGAAGACATTTCCGACATTGATCACGATGCCTCATTTATCACTGCTCTTGAGACACTCTCCGAGAACGACTTTCACATTGAAGATGAAGATGCTCCTATTCAGGGGCGCCGCCGCTCACTAGCTGATGAGATTGCTGATGCAACTATGGGCGAGGAAGGTGATCCATTTGACGATAAAGAGGATTCACCCGCAGACAATATGGCCTCCGAGCTCTCAGCTGAGGTGCGCAAACGTCCCTTCTGGCTATGGGTAAGTGCTTGGTCCATTCATGTCTTCCTGTCAATAGTCTCCTTTGATCTCTCAGCTAACTGAAATGACACAGAGAAAATACATGTCCACACCCGTGCTGCTCGGCGGCTGCCCGATGCAGTAATGCATCGCTTCTCGCTTCTAAGTGAGTCACTCTGTTGCAATTACTAATTTGGGGCATTTTACTAATTTGGGGCATTTTTTTCGAAGTTTTTGTAGACGAAAGGGGTTATCAGAGGCAGAGTGACTAGGTTAGATAGGAGCAGATCGGTCGGATTTGTCTCAGGATGCGAAGGAAGACGGCCGGGTTCAGGGCATTCGGAGGATAAAAGGAAGGGACTTCTCCTCGTTAGAGAGAGAGAGGGGGCCAGGCAACTTAGACCAGTCATTCTTTCTAGCTGGAATACACTTGAGCTTCGCTCCGAAATGAATCCGTTAAGTTCCCCTCGTGAATCCCTTTATCTTGTGAACTGACCATCAGATCTGCTCCTCGCTGTGAGTAAGAACTAACCAGAGGGGTGAAGCTTTGCTTTCCCCTCTCTTTGGTAATTAAATGGCTACTGTTTGGTAATATCATCTTCCTTCATTAGAGTTCTTAGAGAACCGCCATAACCAAATCTGCTCCTCACCATAGTTCTTTGTGGTGGGCTGTCCTGTTCTGGTTTTGAGTGTTCTTTTGCTCCATTTCATTACTGACCAAGTACTGTACAAGTAAAAGTTTCCTTTCTGTGGTTAATTGCTCGCGGTGGCCATAATAACCGAGGTCCAGGTTATACCATCCAGACTCATCTTCGACATTGCTGGCACATCCCAGCGACGTTGCCGCGGTTCAAAGCTTCAACCCATTTTCGTGTGTGAGATTGAACACACCACAATGACCATACTCGATCCTTTTCGCAAGATCTATCACTATGCGTCCGATATTTGATGTGCTTGGTCCAGTCGCCAAGTGTAGAAACACCCAATTATTTCAGAGAGCGAGGAGCGCCAACATCTTGGCTGCCCAAGGAAGAATCCTAACGAAGGATAGCTTGCGAACGAGGAAAGGAAAAAGACAAAAAAAAAAAAAAAAAAAAAAAAAAAAACCTAAAGCAAAAAAACAACAACAAAAGGTAGCACACAAGAAGAAGCAAGAGCGGAAGAAGGCCGCTTTTCAGAATACTCCGCTGCACACCATCATGCAGCCACTACCGAGTTTTAAAGGTGTTCTGAGACCATGTGCTAGAAAGATGTGACGAGACAAAAGTAATGACATGTCGGTGTCACTGTGGGAGCCTCCCTTCTGTCTGTTCTCATGTCGGACGGCAGGAAGATGGGATGGGACAAGAAGAGACAGACTGAGCAGATCCATCCTTGTCTTGCTCCTCGTGGGGAATCTGCCTGCCTGTATCTGTGGAACCATTTCCCCGGATTCCCATTGACGAATCGGACATTGCCTTGAAAACGGTTTAAGCTCTGGGCTATCGTGGCGCACTCAGCTCGTTGGGTCATCCGACATGGCCTCGAGCTGGTCAAGCTCGTGTAACAAGCATGATACGTGGACGAGAGCGAAGCCAAGTCTAGACTTCCAAGGCTCCCGCCGCTCCGTTACCCCAAATTTCTTCGGAAATTTGTACAGAAACGGTAAAGGACGCGAACACCAAGCCGCATCCTTATTTGCCGCCTCGAAAACGTGCTCTCCGCATGCTCACTCTCTCCCTTGTCCGTCCCCTTGTCAGGCTGGGCGGAGCCTATCATAATCCGGGGAAGTGGGTTTCTGTGTAAGGCACTTGTCAAACTAACTCAACAGAGTTAAGCTTCCTTTTACCCCAACCTGGGGCAAAGTCTGGGGTAACTTCGGCACTTCCATCGTCACCCCCTCTTCTCCAGTCCTCTGTCACTCTGTCAATGCTAGGTAAGCTTCATCAGTCGTTGGCTTCACACCGCAAACCCGGATAGGACAACAATCCTCGAAGAAAAGAAAAAGACTAACCAAAAGCTTCAAGCCCCTTTTCGTAGGTTACCAGATAGACTAGACCAACAAGGCCTGCAAGGCTTGGATCAAAGCCCCTGATGCAACCTTCATGACGTGTGTGGAGGTATCCGCCTCCTTGGACACTTGCGTGCGGGGGAGAAAGTCTTGGCTTCCTAACGCCCAACAAAGAGGGGCGGGATCTTCGAGGACGGGTCTGGATTTCCAGGTAGTGACTGAGAGCAGAGCTTGCGAGCTGTTGGAGAGAGGCCAAGGAGCAGGGAGAAGAGGGGAGGGGGAATCCTAGGAGAACCATGTCGGCGTCAGCGAATTGTCAAGATAAGCCAAGCAAAGATGGCCTCGGTCTAGTCTATGATGGTGGTGTGGTGGTCTGTTGTTGTCTGTTGAGCGGGATGAGCGGGAGTTGTGTGGGAAAGAAAAGGGATGGATGAGATGGTGGTGAAGGAGGAAAGGATAAAAGGAAGGACGATGACCTTCTTGGACGTGTTTTTCCTTGAAATTGAAATCAGGGTCTTTTGGGAGTTTGAGGAACACAAGATACCTCTAAGGAATCTCAAGTTGTACTTGACTTGCCAGCTCACGATTCTGTACCCAAACTACTTCTCTGTTGCTTTCGAAGTCTTTATCTCGCCCCCTATTCACCTCCTCCAGCCTCTCTCCCCCCACTCACCAGATTCCCTTCTCCAACGGTTCGGTAGTACATATCCCGGCAGCTCTCCCCGCATTGCAACCTTCCAAGTTTGGACCAGATCGATACTGCGTATCTTAAACATTAACCCCCCCTCTCCGGTTTACTCGATCTTCACCTATCCTGTCTCATACCTCCCCTTATACCTACCTGCTTTATCCTATCTCTTTTCTCTTCCTCTTTGGCCCTTGACTTCTGAGTGTCTTCCCTCTATCACCCTACTACTTTCGCCGAGGGTCTCACACACATCACCAACCAACCTCAACAAGTCGACCGGCCTTAACAACAACAACCAACCATGGCCACCAACACCTATCCACCAGGTGATGACCCCGAGGTCCTGGACGTCGAATCCAAAGCCTCAGCCTACCACTCCGAAAAGGCCCCCTCAGCCTCCTCCGTCGGAGGCTCCTCCCCCAACGTGGCCGTCGTCACGGGCACCAAAACGGAGGAGCACGACGCCCGGCCCGAGGACTTCAACATATCGCCCGCCGAGGAGAAGCGCATCAAGCGGCACATCGACCGACGGCTGGTCATGACCATCGGTGCCATGTACTGCGTGTCGCTGATGGACCGCACCAACCTGGGGGCGGCCAACATTGCGGGCATGTCCAAGGAGCTGAAGCTGATCGACAACCGGTACTCGATCGTGTCGCTGGTGTTCTTTGTTACCTATGTCCTGTTTCAGCCGCCTAGCACGGTCATTTGCCGCAAGATCGGGCCGAGGATTCATATGTCCGTGTTGACGACGCTTTGGGGGAGTGTCATGATTGGTATGGGGTTTGTGAAGAACTGGGGGCAGTTGGCGGCTTTGAGAGTGGTGTTGGGTGTTTTGGAGGCTGGTATGAGTTTTCCTTATCAATGATGACACTCGAATGATGTGCCTTGATCACTAACCCTCCTCAAAAATTAGGTTTCTTCCCCTCCTGCGTCTACCTCCTTTCCACCTGGTACACGCGCTACGAAGTCGGCAAGCGCAACTCGGTCTTCTACCTAACCGGCTGCGTCGCTTCGGCCTTCGCCGGCATTCTCGCCTACGGCCTGATGCAGATGGACGGGCTCGCCAACATCACCGGCTGGCGGTGGATCTTCATCATCGAGGGCGTCCTGACCTGTCTGCTGGGCATCGCCGGCTACTGGCTTCTGGTCGACTTCCCCGACTCGTCTCGCAAGACCTGGGCCTTCCTCTCCGCCCGCGACCGCGAGTGGGTGTGCGCGCGCGTGCAGGCCGACCGCGGCGACGTGGTCCCCCAAAAATTCGTCGTCAGCAAGTACCTGTCCTCCGGTAAGGACTGGAAGGTGTGGGCGTACGCCATGATCTTCTTCAACACCACCACCATCAGCTACGCCCTCTCCTTCTTCCTGCCGGTGATCCTCAACACGGGCATGGGCTTCAACATTGCGCAGTCGCAGTGCCTGGTTGCTCCTCCTTATGCGTTCGCGGGCTTCGTCATGTTTGCCGGCGCGTACGTCGGCGACCGCTTCCACATCCGCGGCCCCATCGTCGCCTTCAACGCTCTGCTCGCCGTCATCGGCGTGCCCATCATGGGCTTCGCTGCGAGCGCAAAGGTCCGCTATTTCGGCGTGTTCCTGGTCACCGCCGGCGCCAACTCCAACGTGCCGGCAGCGATGAGCTACCAGGCCAACAACATCCGCGGACAGTGGAAGAGGGCGTTCTGCAGCGCGACTTTCGTGTCCTTTGGTGGTATTGGCGGTATCGCTGGTAGCTTGGTCTTCAGAGAGCAGGATAAGCTGACGGGCTATAAGCCGGGTCTGTATGCGTGCATTGCGACCAGTCTGTTGACTCTGGTGCTTGTCGCGTGCTTGACTGTCTCGTTCTGGAGGGAGAATAAGAAGGCGGAGAGGGGTGAGAAGGAATTGGAGGCTGATGATGTGAGTTTTTAGTTTTTTTTTCTCTTACCCATGCTTTACCTTTTTATCGTCGGCTGTTGAAACCTTTGACTAACTTTTTTCTTTCATCTCTACAGGACGATGCCCAGCCTGGATTCCGCTACACCTATTAAGTTTGTGCTTCCTAGATTTAATGTTAGTAATGATATGACTTGGACAGTTGGGTGGCTCAGAGATGATCATGGGTTTGGAGTTTGGGTAATGAAGTGTTTTACGATCGGAATGAGGTAGATAGTCATGGGTGAGGGTATTCTGTTGATAGTACAGAGAGATGCACTCGACGCTACTAAGCGGTTATTCCCCCTTTATCAGGGGGCAAATGAACAAGTACATAACTTCAAGACTTTTGGGTGTAATCCGTGACACGTAAAAATGATATACAAAGTGAAAAGCGAAATGAGACGATTTCATACCTGTTTTTCCTTCCCTCTACTTCTTTTTATTTCACGACACAACACAACACACTACCGTCTCCCCAAATCCCTCCTGACCCTCCACACCTTACTCCCCGCCGCCCTCCCCTGACTACCATGCAACATCTCCACCCACGGCTGCGCCTCCGACGTGCCATCATGCAACGCCTTCACCCTTTCCATCTCCGGTCTCTCCTCAACTTCATCCGCTCCAACCGATTCCGTTTCGTCACTCTGGTCACCATCCTCCCCATTATCATCATCAATCTCCATCTTCGCACCACCGCCGAAAACCAAACTCTGCTGACCAGCATGACCAGCAGCCTTGTTCCTAGCAGCAGCATTATTCCTCTCCCATTGCCTCCGATGTAAATCCTCCGCATACGCCCAGGAGGGCGTATCGAACCTGCCGGCCACCAGCACCAAATCCTGGTCCTTTTCTGTGATCACCTCAAAAGGCAAAGGCGTCAAAAGCTGCAACTCCCCCCTCTTTACATCAATCCCCCTGACCAGCACCAACCCCAGCACGCGCGAGTGGGCGGGGGAAAGCGTTTTGCCTTGGGGGTTAGGGAGGTGGGGGAGGGATTCGCGGGGGGTTTTGCATATCAACAACTCCGGTTTTTGGGACTGGGACTGCTTGAACTGCTGTACAGACTGCGACTGCTTCGACTGCTTCGACTGTTGGTGCTGTTCCTGTGGGGAAACGAGGAGGTCGGGAAAGTCCCTAAAAGCACCAGCGCGGTCTTCGATTTTCACCAAAGCGAGGATCATCCCGTTTATGGCTTCAGCCAACAAGTCCGGCGCGGGCTGGTGGTCATAACAAAGAATGCCGAGGAAGCCGGGGCGAGGGCCACGGTAGCGGACGCGCCAGGGGGGGAGGTGGGTGAGGGGTGTTGGGGACCAAGTAGGGCCGGGGTGGGTTTGGCTTTGGCTTTGGCTCTGGACTTGGTGGCCTTGGGGAGCAGTGGCAGTGAGGGAGGAGAAAAGGAGGTGGAAGTAGGACATTGTTTGCATTGTGCGGAGGTGGAGGGCTGTTCTTGAGCTTCCTCCTCCTGAGGTTGTGGTGGTCTCGGTTGACGAGGATAATTGTTGGCCTTGGGGTTGTTGACTGGGGACAGTGACGAAGGGGATTTTCTTGTCCTGGCAGGCGGCTTTGAGGCCGTCGACGGTCTCTTCGGGCCCGTCTTGGGACATGTAGATCACTTCGGTTGGGACGGTCTGGCGGATGAGCTCAGATAGAATGTCGAGCCCGGTACCTTGGATCCAGCCGGGAGTGTTGATTATGAGTGGGAGTTTGTTCAGCGACGGGTTGGTCTTGTATGTGTGGAAAAGATCGAGGGCGCATGCAACAAAGTGGTCCGGGTCAAGACTGGGGGTGACGGAGGCAACGGTGTGGGCGCGTAGTTGGGCTGTCGTTGAGTCTAGGGCCGGATGGCAGAAGGGAGGAGAGAGATTGGGGCTGGACAGCTTGTTGAGGGATATGACGGAGGGAGGTCCAAATTCTGGCTGACCAGGGTCGAGATCAAGGACGACTACCGGGGCCCAGGGCTGTCGTGAGAGCCCGGAGCCAGTTATCAGGCGGTTGGCCATTAACCGTCCAAAAGTAGACTTTCCGGAGGATTTGGGGCCGCTCAGGAAGACAACAGGCGTAGCCTTGGTTTTGGAGTCTAGGACGTCCGCTAGTTGCTTGTTCCATTCAGCGGGGGAAACCAACTCCTGGATGCCCCCCCTCTTCGGACCATCATCTGACGTGAAGATGATCTGGAAGGTAGAGATAGCCTTTTTGACCTGACCCGACGCAACATCGTCCGACTCATTCCATAGCTTCCCAAATGCAGGGTTCAGGCTAGCGAGCTGTCTCAGGCTCCGAGCTCCTGGGTGTGGATGCAACTCGATTGTGGCATCGCTTGTAATCCGGATGACGGGAAGAGCATGGCATAGGGGAGCGTGAACCCAATGAATCAGGTCCGACTTGGATAGGAAAGCTCCAGCAATGGTAAGCTCGCCTTCGCGAACCTTGATACCATAGCTCCCAAGAATGACCAAACGCTCTCCATCGAGGAGCTTGAGAAGCATACGGCCGTTGGCCTTTAGTTGGATGTTCGTCTGGCCCAACCTTTGAGATGAATAGTAGATGACCCTCCTCCGGCCTGTCGGAATTGGTTCTGAAAGATTCGGGAATTGAGACTTCACTTGACGACCTTCCTCTCTTCCTTCGGCTGGTAGTTCGTCCTTAGGACCTTGCTTCCTTTTCCTTGGACGTGCTACCGGCTTTTCGTCCACATCATCGGAAGGCTCCTGTTTTTGAGCTTGCAGTGCCTTTCTGAAGTTATCCCTAGTGAAGAAGGACTTGGCGGATGTGTTGCGGTCAATGATATCTCCGTTGTTGTCATCGTCGTCAACATTGGGAGTAGTGGCGGCAGCACTGGCAACGGCAGCAGCCGACAGCCCTAACAGCTTTTGTCGAGCAGCGAATGCACTCATTTTTTGTGTTGTGGTTGACTGCTTTCGGCATTAGCAAAGTGGACATTGACCTCGATACTGGAAGTGGTACCTTTGGCAAAAATCACCCGTAGCGTTCACGTTGTTGCACTCGCAGTGACTGCCCAAGTGATGTTATCTTTGGGTGCCATTTCTTCAGTTGAAATGAATAAAAGGTTGGGAAAATGGAGTGAATTTCCAGCGAGAGACGTACTACGGCACAAGGTTGAGGTGTAGATGTATGCAGATTATTCAGATGATCAAATTCCCCAAAATATCAACTGAATGGTTTTTGAAAGCAAGATATCACAGATACTTGCAGTTCAAATGAGATTTCCACGACTTGGTTGATTGGTGGTGGTGAAGTCACAACGATGTTCTGGAGAAACAGCACAGGCATCTGTGTGTCTTGTAGGTATAATTGCGACCATTATAGTCAACCCTTACCCTGACACTACCTTACCTAGTGAATGAGGGTTACCTTTGGAAAGCGACCCTTATCAGAGGTTCTGCTGCCCCACATTCCGCTCCTAATCTCGACCAATCAGCTGTCTCAATCTCCTAATTTTTTCTGACTCGGGTCAAGCAGCGACCTCGAGAGTTCGCAGCTCTCCACTTTGAATCCCGCCGCGCATCTGATATCCAGCGTGTTTATACGCGACGAGGATCATTCCGCTTGCATCTCTTCTGAGAAACAAGTGAAGTGACAAGGGCACAGAGAGCAGCGCATTTCTGCATCGGCAGCAAAAGCACTTCAGAAGCACATCAACACACTGTAATCCGACCCCACATTAGACTTTTTAGCACTTTGTAACTGCACCAAACTGCACCATCCATCCCTGCACATAGTAGCACTCAATTATTCGACACAGGCGCCTTTCCGTCTTCGACATTCACTCCACCTAATTTTTCTTCCATCACCACCTTATTCTTCCCTTTCTTTACAATCCAGATAAGCCGCCCCCCATGGCTGGTCCTCGCGCACCCATCGGAACCCTTTCTCAGCACGCCGCGAACGCCGCTGCCCTCGCACGCAACACCTCCACCAACGTCTTCTCCCAGCAAAAATCACAACTCAAGTCCAAGAAGGGCAAGCAAGAAGAGAGCGACAGCGATTCAGACAGTTCCTCCAGCGACGACAGCAGTAGCGATAGCGATAGCGACGCCCCAGCAAAGACCGAACCCAGCGCCAACTGGGCCAGCAACCTGAAGAAGACGAACATGGCGCAAACGAAAGCCACCAAGGCCGCTTCGCCTGTGCCCAAGGCGGCCGCGAAGGCCAAGCCAGAGCCCGTCAAGGCCAAGCCAGTAGCTACCAAGAAGAAGGAGGAATCCTCGTCCTCGTCCGAATCCGAGTCTGAATCTGAGTCCGCGTCCGAGTCCGAGTCCGAGTCGGAGGTCGAGGAGAAGAAGCCTGTCAAGAAGGCGGAAGAGAAGAAGCCCGCGGCGCCAGCGGTCAAGAAGGTGGCCAAGAAGGACGAGAGCAGCAGCGAGTCTAGCAGCGAAGAGGAGACTGAAAGCGGGTCGGAAGAGAGCAGCGACGACGAGGAGGAGGAGAAGACCAAGCCTGCGCCCAAGGCTACGCCAAAGACTGCGCCCGCGAAGACAAAGCAGACCGCTAAGCAGCCCACACCCTCATCAGAGGAGGAATCAGGCTCTGAGGACAGCGAGAGCGATGAGGAGCCAGCACCAAAAGCCAACACTAGCGCCAAGCTTGCGAAGCCCGCCAGCAAGACACCCGAGGCTACCAAGGCCAAGCCAGTGGTCAATGGTAGCTCAAAGTCGAACGAGACCGTGAGCAAGTCCGACGACGAGTCATCTGAGGAGGAGGAGTCGGGTTCCGAGGAAGAGTCCTCTGACGAGGAGATGGCCGATGCTCCCCAGCCCAAGGCCGCCCCCAAGAAGACATCTGGGTATGTGTTCTCGCGCGACTTGTATCAGACAACGTATACAATGCTAACAGGCATCACAGTCCCCAATTGCCCCAGGTTATCGCGCCCAACTTCCACATGCGCAAGGCCGATGCGAACGCCGACGCCAAGGACGTCGCACGAACATTCCAAAAGGCCCAAAGCGAGGGCAAGCAGATCTGGTACTTCACCGCCCCAGCCTCGATCCCCATCGAAGTGATCCAGGAGCACGCGCTCCCGCTCAGCAAGATCCAGTCCGGCGAGCCGATCATCACCCACAACGGCGCCGAGTACAACGCCACCCTGGAGGAGGGAACCACCCTGCACTCCATCCAGGTCCTCCTCCCCACCGAGTCCGGCGACAAGTACGAGCTCATGAAGCAGCCCATCGCCCAGGCGCTGCACATCAAGCGCGTCACCCGCCTCAACCCCGCGGCCGCCGCCACCGCTGCCGTCTCCGCTCCCGCGACCGGCATCGTCCCCAGGCCCCAGCCTGCCGGTCTCAAGGCCCGGTTCCACCCCATCGGCGCCTCTCCCGCTGCTCCCATGGGCAAGCTCGGAGTTGACGCCGTCGGTGAAGCCGCTGATTCTGACGCCGACATGGCCGAGGCTGCCCCTGCCGCCAAGTCGTCCTCCAAGAAGCGCAAGAACGAGACTGCTGCTTCCGAGGACGCTCCCAGCAAGAAGACAAAGAAGACCAAGGAACCCAAGGAGGCCAAGGAGACTAAGACCTCCAAGAAGGCCAAGTCCGAGACGCCCATTGCTCCTCCTGCTGTTCCCTCCGCTGCGGCGAAGAAGACGGTCACCCCCAAGAAGATCACGCCTATCTTGCCTCCTTCTATTCCCAAGCCGAAGAGCTCTTAGAGGGTGGATTCTTCGAGTCGAGTCCAGTCCGCTGCTAATTGCCACTGCGCAGCGGTGGGAAGGAAGGTGTTTTGTCGTTGGTGTGGTAACCGCGTGGTGAACTCTTCTTCCGGGTGCAAGAAAGGCCGTGCCCTCATGGCAGCGAAGGTGTAATCGCTGTTGGATTTTACCTACCTGGTTACCCTGGCACTTACCTGCAGAAGGCGAGAGCGACAAGAGCGGATGGGTGGGTGGAGGGATTAGTTCACTTTAGCTCTGATGCTATGCTGGTGACTTGCCACGCAGTGTTCTGATGGGTTGTGGAACCTCTCAAGTTGTGTATAGATTCCCGCCCGGGAAGTCGTTGCGATTTGTCAAGCCATACATGAAGATATAAACCAGGAACTGGAATGGGGAGGGGAGGGGAGTCACTGTTTCGATGGTGGGCTAGGGGCGTTCAAAGGTATCTGTTAAAAGGTCCTATACTAGAGATTTGTCGTTATCAGAGGAATGGTGTACGTATTGTTTGTATGCATGCTATGGTGTATATTGTCGTCATGGGAGGCATATAAGTTTAGATGCTAGATATTTTCTTCTTCTGCATTTGTTGTGTATAGGTTTCCTCACATGGTCTGCTTCGGTTCATGTACTCGTTTTGTATTACGCCTTAAGATTTTCCGGTATTTACGTACCCCCGGACCCGGACCCCGACCCAAACCACAGGCGCTAGTGTAGATATCTAGATATAACTTGGTCACAGTCACAGTTAAGTTTTCATCATCATCACCCAAGCAAAGTAGGGGCTTGCAATGACATGTGATGGCAATAGTCTCTCTTATAATTGTTTCCAACCCAGCTCAATTCAACCACGTAGTACGTACGGTAACTATCCAACCCGTACCCAAACAGCTCACTTCACTTTCCAACCTTTCCGACTTTCCAACTCCAAATCCTTCGTTACTCCAAGATATATTTAGTCCAACCCCCTTTTCCTGCCCCCCCGCTATCAAAACTAACCCCAACTTTAACTGGGCCTCCTAAAAGGATGAGCCTCAGTATTAAACACCCACTCATCCAAGCTCACCACGTCCGGCTCGGCAAACAACAAGTAAAAATACTTGAGCGTTTCAGCGAGCCAGAAACTCTCCATGCTATCCGTGAAATGACCTGGTTTTGGCAATTGTTTTTCTTCGCGGCCATCTTCATCTTTTTTGGTAGAAGAGGTAGTAGTAGCAACGTTGTCGATGGCGCTGTGGGCGACGTCGGTGCGCGTGGCGGCGATGACGGACTCGAACATGCGCCAGCCTTTGTCTTGCCAGACGGGGGAGCCGGTGATGCGGTAGTAGTAGAAGACGGATTCGATTGCTTCGGGGCTGTGTAGAAGAAAAAGGGGGGTTAGTATGCGGTTTGGGAAGGGGAATGGGAATGGGAGGGGACAAAAAGGAGGGAAAAGAGGGGATAAAGGAGAAGAAGGGAAGAGAAGACGTAAACATACCGAAGGATATACCGCTTATCATTCAACGACACAAATCCCGGCGGGATATTTAAGCTCTCGATCCTGTCCTGGACATACTCCTCATGGCTGAGCGGCTTCTCAGGCTCTGGAGGGAGGTGGAGTTCGAGCATGGGCTTTTGCTGCTGGTATTGCTGCTCATGGCCAGCGATGTTATTGTTCAGATCGAGCTCGTCTTCAATCTTGTTGACCTTGGTGGCCACCTCGATCTTGTCATCTTCGGGGAACCTCCTCTTGGTCAAGTGGTAATCGACTTCCTGCGGCATGCCCTGATGAACACCGGGGTTTAGTCCCTGGGGGTGGGGATCCTTCGGTGCGGTGTTGACTACCGCCGCCGGCGCCGGGGTGTAAGGCGAATTATTCGACAAAACCGGACGGTTTGCCTTCTCCTCCTCCTCCTCTGCCGCCTTGCGCTTAGCTTCCTCTTCACTCCTCACCTTAGCCGCCGCCTCGGCCTCAGCATACTCCTTCTTGAGCATCTTCACCTCCTGCACCCACTCCGCATGGTTAACCTCCCACTGCTTCAGCTGCTCGTCTCTCCACGCAGCGTCGGTATCAATAGCATTATACCAAGCCGTCTTGTTCCACTGACAATCGTCCGCCTTAGCGCACGGTAGGACCATGGAGTACTCGGGCATGATTCCCGAGGGCATGACCTCGTACGCCCACGCACACCCGTCGGCGAGCTTCCTGCCAATCTCCACGTCCTCGGGGCTCCCGAAAATCTTGCCTCCCAAACCGAACATGCCTCCCAAAAAGCAGGTCAGGTGCGTGACCTCCCACTCGTAGCTGAGCTTCTGGTCCGTATGGTCGGGGCTGGTCACCTTGGCAGAAAACAAAATGTCGGGATTGCCGGGCGCCATGGGCCGGAAGAGGAGGTACTTCTTGACGGCGGCCGACACCTTTTCGTGCATGGTGCGGTACTTGTCCTCGAGCCCGCCTAGCAACAAATACTGCTTGGGGAAGTACTCGTACGCCGAGTCTTGGCTGCCGCCCATGCTGTAGGACTCGGAGCCCCAGCCGCCTGCTACCAGGCCTTGAGGGACGCAGTCCCAGTTTGCGGGCATTCCCTGCGCGTTGTGCGGGGGTCCTTGGTTTTTCACTCCTTTCCAGGGAGGGATTTGTTGTTTTGGGATAGAATAATGGGGCGGGGGCGTTCGCCGGTTGAGTTCTCGCTTTGTGACGCCGTTGAAGTTCAGAGGGTCCTTGCCATTTTGGATGTCCTGGTCCGTCATTCCGGCGGTGTAGCCCTGCGGCTCTTCGTCGACGTCTGTAGCGTCGTCAACCTGCTGCCTTGCGGCGTCGCTGAGATTATCCGAGCTGGAGGCAGCCTGAGCGGTGCGGTTACAGCCCGAAGCGTCGATATGCTCTGGGAAGATTCCGGGTAGAGCAGTCCCGTCCTCTCGGTTCTGCAGATCCTCCAGGGCATCCGTGATACGGGCAACAGCGTCATAGTACTTGTTCTCGCCCGTCAGCTGAGCCAGGCGGGTGAATTCCATGCTCAGGGTACCCAGCTCGGCCATACCGGCGCTGGTGGACGCCCGCTTGGGGTTGCCGTTGAAAGCCGGGTGCCAGTTATAGTACAGAATAGGCATGCGGTTGGGGGTGTCGAAGACGCTCATGAGCACCTCGGCGAGCTCGACGGCCTTATCCAAGAGGATCTTGTACCCGGTCTTTGTCTTTTCACCGCCGGATACGTCGTATGCGCCCAGAAAACCACCAAGATAACGGATAGTCGTCTCAAACACGGGGATCTCGGAGCGGTACGCAGAGTAAGTAAAGTCAAGCTCTTTGACATACTCGACGGCTTCATCGAACTCCTCCTTCAGACCCATGATCCAGAGCGTGTCCAGCGAATCGACCAGCGTGGCTGCCCAGCCGCAAAAGGGGTCCTTGGACTCCTTGGTGACGGGCGTAAGCTCGTCATGGCCCCAGGCATACTTCTTGTAGCCGGACCAAGCGCGTTGCGCCTCGGCCCGGACTTTGTTCAGACGAGCCAGGCGCTTCTCCTTGGCCTCGGGAGATTCTTCACCAAAGTTGAATTGGACCGTGGGAATAGGTTTGGGCTTGCCGGTGGGCAGCTTGATGATGGATTCCTTGGGAACAGGGAACCATTCACTCGGCTTCTGCCAATGTTCTTTTGTCGATGTAGGCTCAGCTTCGTCTTTTCCACCGTGTAATTTTGAGCCATCGTCATTCGTTTCCGGCACAGGTCGATCGGGCAGCTTCACGGCAACGTGCGACTCCTCGGCACTGTGGTCATGCGCCTTCCCTACTGTCGGGGCCGGAGTGGGCAGGCCAAAACCGCCAGGTACCTCATTGCTTGTCTTTAACTGGGGAATCCTGATAGCCGTCTCCTTCTTAGGCGCAGGTTGCGTGCTAGTAGTCTGTTTCTCCTGCGCTACCGATGTAGGCCTTTGCGGCGCAATTCCAACAACATGGCTCGTAGGCAGAGGTTTCGGCGGTTGTGGCGGTTGATATTCAACATTTAGGCTGTCTTTGTTGGCCGAGTCTGCTGGCGCTTTCTTCGGAAGGTACAAAGCGGATTGTGAGAGCTCCCAGTCCGAGTTCTGGGAAACATGGTATAGCAGCACAAGGATGATGAATGCGCCTATGAGGAACGGGCGGGCTCTTCGTATGCGAAGCATGGTAGCGACGGACGGCCGCTGAGGAAGCGGAAGATGGGCGTGGCCAGGATCACAGGCAGGGCAGAGTCGAGGACCGTCGGTCGGGTAGGGGCAAAAGGGGACGTGTTCGAGGAACGTACCCTAGGAAGCTATGGTTTCAGATCCCAAAGTGTCGCGTGTTCACAGGAATCTGTAGGTAGTCGCGAAGCTACCTAGAGGTATTAGGGAGAGAGGACGGGGAGTAGGTAGTCGAAGGATTCAAGGGAGAACAACCGATATCCAACGGCATGGCATGGCTGATCAGGAAGGGGTTCGCTCGCGATGTATCCAACAATGCCGAGACGGTGTTGTTCGGTTGGTCGGGTTAAGTTCAGTATGTAACCTATATGAAAGGGAAGTTGTAACCGAGTCTCTTGAAAGACAGCAACGACAATTCCAAGGGAAGCTGTAAGGTATGCGCCAGACACAAGCTTCGTTGGAGCTGAGGTTGATGACTCGGTTGGTAGGCCACAACAACCCAAGGTGTAACGAATGGTGAATCACAAGAAAGCGTAAAGAGTCGTCGGTCGCAAAAAGGAGAGTGTGTCAAGATCAAAAGGAAGAATAAGAGTCGAGATTGCCAGTCTTGCCGCTCCCCTCCCCTCCCCCCTCCTCAGGAGCTCAGATGCCATTCTTGGCTTTCTGAACCCTTGGGGCGAGGACGGCTGAGGGTCCCCCCCTTTGGATCGTCAAGTCGTTCAGTGGGTGCAGTGGATTTGCCCCGGAGACGAGCTCACGGCCGCGAAAAGCCATGTGCCATTTGCCAAGCCAATTCATCGTCTGATTGGTCGAAACTTACATGCCAAGATGCCAAGATCGACCTCCACCTCCACATTTTCCATGGGTAAAAGTCCCTGGCGGCTTGGCGTTGTCTCGATCGCCCGCTGGCTCGCTGGCTGATCTTCCGAGGGAGGCAAGGACGGTGTGGACTGGCCCTGCCGAGCAAGTGGAAAACCAGCACAGGATTGACCCCTGAAACTGCATGTAATTCACACACTATGAGGGACCGCCAAATGTTATGCAATAACTGGCATATATGCAGAATGGGGAGCTTGCTTTTGGTGGGAGATAGGGATTTGTAACCGCGCCTGGCTATGCACTAAAAGGGGAGCTTTTGGTGTATATGCAGTATCTGGAGTATGCAGTTTCAGGGGACTTTACTGCAACTGCCCCTCCATTCGTCCCAAGAGCCAGCGAACCTCTATGGCATTCATCTCATCTAAGAGCCATTCGGATTTATTTCATCCCATGTCTTGCAAAGAAGTAACAATTAAGACGAACGGTATTGAAGTAGATCGGATGATATTTTCAATCGGAGCACAGAAAATCCGACTTGCAGAAGTGAACCAATTGCGTAGTGTACAGACAGAACAGAACAGAACACCATAAGAGGTACGTACGATTCACTCTTCTCACTTCACTCCTCGCGCAGTAGGTACCTACACCACCTGGTACCAGAAATATTGTACATAGCAGGCAGGTAGGTACAGACTTACAGTAGGTCTGTCCGATTCCATTCCATCCGTTACAAAGGGTGTACCTATCTGGAAGGAGAGAGAGACCAGCTCAACATCCATACACCATGAGTCCAATTCGACACACACATACACACGCACATACACACATACAGACAGACAGACAGACAAACGCGCGCAAAGAATTCCACTAATTTGCCTCCAGCCGAGCCGAGAACCTTTCTTCGTAAAGAGTCCTCCCCAAAGAGTCCACTCCTTAAATACCTGAATGAACCATTCCCGTGACCGTGACCCTCCGTCCCGTCCCATTATCCTTTTTCCTTCTCGACCTTTTTATTGTCCACACTTCATTATTAACTTGTACTGCCTCTGATTCCCCCAACCCAAGTTCTTCTTCCTGCTCTCACGTCTTCCTCCCAAGTCTTCCTTCTAGTAGAGTAGGGTAAACTCAACTCCACCCCCCCCCCCCCCCCCCCCCCCCCCCCTCCCCTCCCTGGCTGGTTCCTTCTCCTGGCCTCCCTCCTGTCCGTGGTAACGTGGTGAGTAAGCACAAGTGCTCAAGTGTTTGTTTGCGCGCATCACAATGTTACCGCTATGTACCCTCCTCGCTCCTATAAGCCCACCACAGAGAATGATATGATAGATGGCGATGTGTCGTCCGTTCGTTTGAATTAATAAGTGCCCCTAATCTTAGCATACAGCTCCGTATCCATAAAGCTGTAGTTAGGATCCAGCTCGCAAAAGGGGTGTTGGGAGAGGAGGACGTCGGCGGTGGGGCGATCGGTTGGGTCGCTGTTTTGTTTTTTTCGTCGTCAGTATTAGCAACAACACATCGATCTTCAACTCCTCACAACTCTCCACCCAGAAAAAAAAAACTTACACAGTAAAGCAATCCAGCATAAAAGCAATCGCAATCGGCGTGATCTCCTCCCGGATATCATCCGGAATCGGCGGCGTCTCGCCATTCGCAATCTTGTAAATAGCCCCGATCGCCTCATCCTTACTCCACGGCCTGCGGCCCGCAAACATCTCCAGCACCACACAGCCCAGAGACCAAATATCCACTTTGGCCGAATACCCCTCGCCCTGCGACCTGATCACCTCGGGCGCCATCCAGAACACGGACCCCTGCATCGAGTTGGTCTTGTCATTACCATAAATATTATCCGTCTTCTTGGAAATACCAAAATCGGAAATCTTGCACGTGCCGTCCAGGTCCAGCAAGATATTGTCCGCCTTGAGGTCGCGATGCAGGATCCCTTCGCGGTGCAGGTAGGCCAGACCCGAAAGCGTCTGGCGCGTGAGCGAGGCCACCACGGGCTCCTCGAACTTGCCGTGCTTGCGCAGACACGAGCCGATGGAGCCACCGGAAATGTACTCGAGGAAGATGGAGATGGAAGTCTCCTTGCGCTCGCACCCGAGGTACTGCACAATGTTGACGTGATCCAAGTGCTGCATCGTGTCGATCTCCTGGTCGAGCGCGGCCACCAGCTCTTTCATTTTCTTCTTGTCGCCCTGGGCGGCTTTGGGGTTGACTTCGATTTCCTTGACGGCCAGGAACTCACCGGTTGTGGCGTTCATACCGAGGTAGACGCGGCCGAAGGTGCCCTTGCCGATCAGCTGACCCTTGAACCAGCGGAACGTCGTTTGTCTCTTCGGCAATGTGTTGATGTTGTCTTGCGTGGGAAGGGTCTCCTGGGGAATGGTGGACAGAATGGACCCCCGCCTGGGTTCGATCTGCACAATGTTGGCGTTGAACATCTTTGTGCTCTTTCGCCGCATGAGGTTGGTCGTCGCATTAGGAACCCCCGGTGCTGCCACGTTCGTCTGCATCGACGTTTGCGTATAGCGCTTGTGGGCTTCCTGCGCACCGCGGGCCACCTCACGGATGGACTTCATGCGGCCAAGGCCTCTAGACCGGCGCACACTGCCAGATGCCATCGACGATGGGCGTGATTCCAGCGCCTTCAGCGTAGACTCATCAGACCCCAGGGTATCGCTCTCGTTGAAAAGTGAAGAAACCCTGTTAAGCGGCGGGAGCGTAGGCGCGTTGCTGCTACTACTGGCAACCGCGGTGTTGCTCTGAGCCATGGTTTCCGCCATCTGCTGTGGCTGTGTCTGGAACTGGCTCTCATCAACCTCGGCGATCGGTGACGGGGCCTCGACCTCCGTGTCACCGCCCTCCTCAAGCACAGGTTGGTCGACGTCCAAGTTGGGGAAGAAGTCCTCGAGGTTGTTGATAAGGGCGTCGGTCGGGGGACGGTTGGCCCAAACGTCCTTCTCAATGAAAGACTTGCGCCTGCTAATCTTGCACTCCGTCTCTTCCTGTTCCCATTCTTTTGATGATCCCGATGTGACAGGCGCTGACTGCCGGTGACCGTGCCCCGAGGAAGATGGCACACTGGCATGTTCAGGTTCCTCGGTAAACGTGGCCATGCTAGGGCTGGCCTGGGGTGTGGTGAACGCCACGGACAAGTTCTTCTTCGAGCGGTCGGTTGCCAGCTTCAAGCTTGGGCGCTTGCCGAGTCCTTCCTCGCTCCTGCCCGATTCATCCTTTGTCTTCGACGTCTCCGCTGTCTTGAATTTCGAGATCGGAACCGCGAAGAGGCCATCGCCCGAATCATCCTCTGTCTTCGACGTCTCCGCTGTCTTGGGTTTCGAGATCGGGACCGCAAAGAGGCCATCGTCTGAGTCGTCCGAATCATCCTGATCGTCTGCGTTGTCCTGATGGTCTGAACCGGCGTTGAGAGATTCACTCTCAGGAGGTGGGGTGAAGCGCACATCGTTGTCGCTGAAGTCCACATCTGGACCATGGGATTTGCGCTTAGACTCCTCGTGTTGGGCCGGAGCTTGTGGCTGTTGTTGCGGTGGCTGTGGCTGCTGTTGTCTCGGTTGATATTGCTGCTGCTGCTGTTGTTGCTGCGCCTGGTGCTGAAGATGTGGATGGTGCTGCTGCGACGACGATGGCCGGGATGACGATGGCCGGTAATTCTGCTGATATTGTTGCTGGCTAATATGAGACTCGCTAGGTCTCCTACGAGCATTGGGACTAACAGCTGAAGGTGACGGCGCGCGTGCTGTTTGGTAACGCATTTTAGCATCTGTTCTAGTTTCAAGGTAGGGGTTTTGATCATGACGAGGAAGTCGCTGATCCGAGCTCTGCCGGCCATGGACACGTTCACGGAAGCTGCTAGACATGTGAAGTCCGCCTTCTCTTCCAAGTGACATTGCCGATGACGACGGTGACTGGTGAGGAGTCCCCCCACCTGGCGAGTAGTCTGGGACGAGGAAGGGCACATTTCTGGAGCTCCAGGTGGTTGCCCCAGGCGATCCAGGTACACCTCCCGACGGCCGCGGGCTACTGCCTCCACTGACACCGGCACTGGCACCGGAGCTCGATCTGTTGCGCTGTCCAAAGTCGACCAAAGACATGGCTCCCTTACCTCTTTGCTGTTCGCTCATCTCGCCACCATGCCCGACGGGCGCTGAGGCGACACGGTTTGGTGATAATGCGCGAGCACCGCCGGCGACAGGGTGACCGATGCCACCCAGGTGGCCGCCTATATTGATCAACAAGCTGCCGATTCCTCCTGATGGCGATGGCACTTCGGCGGTTCCTCTTATCGCGGCCGGCCTCCTCGTTTGCCTCTCGGGCGTCGGGTTCTCGCGTATGTCGGTCGATACTCGCCTCTGGTGGTATCCATGATCTATGGCGTTGTGATGATGATGGTGATGGGTGGCATGCGCCGTGCTAGGTCGGAATCCCTGTCCAGTTTTCTTACTCAGTGAATTGACCTTGGTTAAAGTAGCCGATGGGTCCCCTGGTGGTGCAGGTGCCTTTCGTACCGGAAACAGGTGATCGGGCCTCTTGTCCTCGAAGGGTGAGAGTCGGGGCTGGTCAAAGTCCACTTTCCTGCCGACGATGCCGACCGGTGTCGTCTCTCCGACCGGGCTCGTCTCCTTGGTTGCGTGCTTTCGGGGGGGCTCCGCCTTGTACTCGATTTGCTCCGCCGCTGGCATCTTCTCGTCCCGGTCCTTGCTGGATATCGTATTCTGCCTCGACGTCGGCGGCGATGAACTAGAACGCTGCCTTTGTCCGTTTAGCCTGTTGAAAGTTTCCTCGTCCATGGGAGGGGCGCCACGAGGGACATACGATGATGGTTGACCGCTTTGGGTTCCGTTACCTGGATACGGTGAATTCGTCATGCCGCCCGGTCTCACAAACAGTTTTAGTGTGCCGACTGCGTCCGCCCGTAGCCTTTTGTTCGTGAGTAGTTTCATGTCGTCCAAGGGCTCCTCATGGTCAAACTTGCCCAGCTCAGTCACGTAGATTGCCGCGCCTTCACTGTCAGGTAGGCCCAGGTTGATGCACACTAGCTGTCTCAAGTCATGTGCGGAGTCGATATCAGTAACATCCAACATACGATAATTCCAGTGGTCCAGAGTAGCGAGGAGATAAACCCGGGTAGCAACCACGCTCTTCTTCCTACTATGGCCACTGTGAAATCCGAGGCTGTGATCGTGAGTCGAGATACTTGAACCGGGGCGCTGATCGAGGGAAGTTTCGCTGACATGACCGGCACGACTACCAAGCGAGTGAGCTTTGAAACCGGTAGCTGGACTGGTGGGTGAATCTAGTTCGTCAGGCGATGTTCCATCTTCCTTTCTCTTGTTCCGCGACAAGAACGACAAGAACGACTTTGGGCCTTTGGCGCTGTTTGGAGGGTCAGTCCCGGCACTCCTGTCTCCGGTGTCAACGACACCCAAAGGCCGACCGCCATCTTGACCGTTCCGACGGTCAGGGTTGTTTGTGTTAAAGCTATTCTTAATCATATCGGCGAGGCTTCCGTTCTTAATGAACATGGCTGCGGCATCGGCAGGAATGCCAGACCCGTACTGTGCTGCGTTTGAGGATACTGAATCACTGCTGTTGCGCGAACGATGACCAAACCTGCTGCCACTGCGTGGTGACGATGACAAAATTGGGTGGCCAGCGTTAGAAGGGAAGAGGGCAGAAGAAGGGATAGGACTACCACCGATCGGACTGTCCTGCCTTTCTCTCCCGACGTTACGGAACGTGCCTGCGTTTAGGTCGCCCGATTCGCTCACGTTACTGGTGCTCGGGCTGTGACGACGGGCGCTGTCTATATCCAGGTTCTTCATCAGGCTACGGTGGTTTGGCTCAGCTGATGACATGGTACTCGTCAGCAGCGGCATCGTCGTTGAGCGCGATTGGGAGAATCTCCTGCCTGCGAAGCCCGGTCCCGGGGCCTTGGGTCCGGACTGAACTTGCTCTTCCTGCACGAAGGGACGAGATTTGCTGAACTCCACGTTTGGAGAATCTGCAGAATCGGGACCTGCGCTCGGCGGAACACTTGCACTAACGGACTCTTTGCGGGCATGGCCTCCAGCTCCTCCTCCTTGTGCACCTCCACTTGCCGGAACTTTGGAGGGATCTACAGGTCGACCCGTCACGATTCCCCTGATGAGTCGTCGCATCCGCTTGCCTTCCTCCCGCTCCTTCGTCTGGTCCCAGCCCGTCTTGCTCATCTGGCACTCATGCGCCAGCTGCGGATATACCTGCTGGTGCATCATACCAAAGTTTCCGCGACCACCATGACCACTGCCAAGTTCCAGAAACTGCGCACCATGGAGGTTCAAAACCTTGAACGTGTTCACCCAGTCCTGGGAGAAGCTGTTTCCCTGAAGCCACATCAAGACCCTTTCAAGCGGCCACTGCGCTGCCAGCTCGGGCGGGATGGCAGACGAGCTGTTGGGGGTGTTGCTGGTGGTCGATAAGCCCCTGTCTGCCGTGGGAGCAGCAGCATATAACCTATGCGCATCCTCCATGGATGTTCCTGCCAACCAGCTCCCTGGGCCAGCGATCTCGTCGGCCAGCCCCAAGCCCGGAATGCCCACGCCTTCACCATACGTGTCGCCGGCCGAAGGGATATAGGTCGCGCTCATTTGCTCGCTCGGTGGAGGCGGGGGAGGTATCGTGATCGAGGTGGCGGGTGGGCCCGGGGTGTTGGAAGCGGACGCAGCCGCCGCCGCCGCCGCCGCAGCCTGCGCATGCAACAAGGGATTGTAGGCCTGCAGCCCGCCATTTCCACCAGGCGGGGGAGGAGGGAGGTTGAAGGCGGTTTGTCCGTTATATGGGCGTCCCCAGGCGCCATGCCATGGTGCAGCGCCCAAGGCGCTCGGCGGGGGAATAGCGCTCGGGGGGAAACCCGGGTTCCCGGGAGGCGGGCCGGGAGGAGGCGGCAATAGGGAGCCGCCCACAGTTCCTGGTGCGCCCGGGTAGCGAGGGGGTGGAGGAGGAATGTTCATGACGTTGTTGATGCCTGCGACTCCAGAACCGACTTGCGGGGGTGACATGGGCGGCGGCGGCGGGACCGCAAAGGGCCGCGGAGGGTCCCTCTGGCCATTTTGGTACATGGCCGGAGGCAACACCTAGGTACGGTGTTGAGCGATGTCGTCGGGAAAGTAAGGCGATAATGCGATGGCCACGGAGGGTATGGCAGTATATGGCGGTTTCCCAGAGGCCGGCAAGGGTCGCCGGCCACGGACTATCGGTTGATCGAGGTTCGCGGGCGGGGAAGGCTGAGGCCGATCGTTTTGCGCGAGTCGTCTGATGTTTCTGGATATCTGCTTGGACGGGATGATAGTCTAAGGTGCAATAGGAAAGCGAATGCCAAGGTATGGGCCTGCTGCTGGAATACCTAGAGTCGGGCTACCTAGACTGTGACATATGGAGGACGTTATCGTCGAAGATGGGGATAGAGACAAACGAGCGTATGTCTTCGACGACCAACCCTGGCTGGCTCTGAGAAAAAAAAGAGGGTGTTGTGGTTGTTGGGCCCGGACAGCTATTGGGTGCGGCACAGTCGAGATAACAAAGGTCGGGGTGATGGAGCGTCCCGAGGTACGGCCTCTAGTGTGGGCTGTAGGTAAAGTAGGAAGGTAGCTTCAAGTAGGCAATACCTAGCGCTGGATATATCTACCTGGACCTAGGGTCGGTCGACGATAGTGTAAAGAGGTAGTAGGTAGTGTTACTGTGATTGACAGGATGGAAGCTGAAAGAGGAAGATGGCAACCACCTAATCGAGGTTGAGGTGGATTGTCGGTTGACACGAATGACGGCACCGTCAGATCCTGGAGAGGAGAGGTGTGGTTGTGCTGAATGGTTGTGTGGTTGTGGTACGACAACGTCAATTGTAGAGCCGAGGAAAATGAAAAATAATGTTTGGATGAAAATGGAATATCGTATGACACTGTGCAGAACTGGAAATTAGATGACCAACTGAAATGACCCCTTTCTCCCCCTAGGTCTACACGTTTCTCCTTCCCTTGCCCATGTCCATTGATTCCCAATCTTTTCCGGCTGGGCGGGCCAGACTCGCGCATGAAGAACACCACACACGACAGTCCTTGTTCGGGTGAAGTGTCTTTGTGTGTCCAGATCCCCTCTGCTCTCTAAAACGTGTCGCTCTCTAGAGGTACACAACAAACAGTACTAGGTAGCCAAAAGCACAGTCTCAGTAGCCTACTCGGATATCCCGTCCGTCGTACGTCTGCTGCCCGCTAGCACCGTCGTTTCGGGCGGTACACGTACCTTGTAGCGCTGCTCTGACGTTGTTAGTGTCGGGTACCCTGGCTCGCCTGGTCAGTGCCTGCTGGGGTTTCGCGACACCTACATAGCTTTCTGCACAAGTGGAACAAGATACCTCAAGATGCCAGTACAACTTATTCACTTGACAAGCTGCTCATGTCGAAAATTGTACAAGTCAACAGTCAACACAAGCTTTCTCGTCCACTCGGGAGTCGGGACAAAACCGGTCTTAACAAACAGGGACTCCACAGTTAGCCAGCCCCGCCCGTGCGTCTGGACCCGATGGGGAGCCCGATCCGATTTCACAGTGGGGCCGTTCAACCTCCGTGGTTCCACCTCGGACTCCCGGGCTTTCCTGACAATCCGTCGGCTGTTTCAACCCTGGGACCGAGAAACTTCTGAAACATCATTTACATGTACCGACAATCCCGCCCAAAGCTCCGCTATGCATTCAATGCTATCACTGTCAAAGATACAAGATTCTTCAGTGCCCTTACATGACAACGCAAGCCTCCAAAAACCCTTTAGCCTGGTTAAAGATTTGGTCGTAGTATCCGACCTCGGACCCCTCACCCGAGGCGCCATTAACCTGCTTGACCACACCCGTAACCCGAAGCGTCTGTTCTCCTTCTCCGTGCCACCACCTCAACTTCTGCAACGACGTGGTCTCTTCCTCATCACTCCTAATCTCCCACTTGCCCGAGCTTACCTCCACATGGCAGCCGTCTTTCGGGAAGTGGTAGTCGGGCAAGAAGACCACCGTTGGAGTATCCGGCTTGGCCGCCTCCGGAGCTTGGATTGTCATGTTGAACTGGCATGACCCGAGGTCGAACCCGTATTTCTTCACGGTACCGGCGGTGGCTATTGGTGCTGGGCGCACGTATGCCTCGGCTGCGCGGTATCCGGGACTGTTGGTCAATTCCGGCTGACGCTGCGTGCTCTCCGACGATATGGAGGGGTTGGTGAGCGTGCGCTTGATGTTAGCTGGAGTTACGCTGCTGTCGTCGTCCAAGTCATCATCTTTAGTGCCTGTTGGAGTCGCAATGCTAGAGCTTGACCCAGATCTTGACCGATTGGGACTGTGTGACTTCGGAACGGGTGACTGTGGAAGAAGCTTGTCATCCACCGAAAAGATGGACAGATCTTCTCCATTCCATTGATCTCCCTTTTCATGATCGTTCTACAATCGCCGGTTAGCTTCAAGTCTGCAAAAGTTGACCACATATTGATACATACCTTGGTCATATAGAGCCACAGCGTGTAGCCCTCCAATCCCGCCCCTTCTACACCGTAATGGTTGGCATCCATCGCAGCCGACTGGCTCGAGTAGTCGCCCGTCTTGTAAGCATTCTTGTCATCCATGTCGTAAGGAATGCCGAACTCGGTCATCACGCAGGGGTGATTCCCGATATAATCAAGACCTTCCTGTCTCATAGTGGCATGCTGATTTTTGAAGCAATTCCGGATAGCCGTCTCTCCAATCTTGATCCCAAACGCAGGGCTCCAATATTTACCGCGGAGAATTCCTATCACGTCGACATTCCACACTCGGTTCCATTTCTTCGTCATGAGGGTGATGCCGTCGTACCAATGTGGCGCGTATACTAGCAAAGGGTCATCGCCATCCGCAGTACCAATGATTTTGGGAGGCAGCTCCATGGTAGGTCCCTGAAGAAGGATGATGGCGTCGTGGTGGATTTTTCGGATCGTGTCCCTGTATTTGCGGAAAAAGTCCATGAAATAGCGGTTGCTGAAATAAGGATAGTCGACATGTTCGCCAGTCAGAGGATGCTTGCCGAAGTAGTCCTTTTTGAGCAGAGAGTCGGTGGCTGGATCCCAAACACCGTGCTGAGCCCATATACACTGGCCTAGTTTCCACCCCGGGTCTCTCTTGTAGCCATAGCGAGACTCGTCATAGTCGGCTGGTAACCACGCCTGCTCACCACTAGGATCAATGAGCGCCCTTCCAACCTTGTACGGACCCATGCCGCCCATGTCCCACGTATCAACCTCAGTCGCCCGACCAGACCCCGTAAGTATGGTTTGCCAGATGGTCGGGCACGTCCCCTTCTTCAAGTTTTGCTCCTTAGGGATGACGGAAATATCCTCATAACCGATCATACCCTTGTTGGGCTCATTCAGACTTTCCCAGCCAAAGACCACATCGTTCTCAATGTCCCCAGCCTCGTGTATTCGCTGCGCAAGGTGAGCGCAAGCTTTGAACAAGTGATCCTGTAGGTAGTCCTGGATGTTGACGCCGTCAATGATACATTTTGGCGCAAAGTCTCGCCCAGCGAAGAACAGTGTGAACATGGTTGCGGCAGCGAGTCTGTAATAGTTTGTCGACCAGATCATCTTGGGAAAGTTCTGGGGTTCTGGGTAGACGTTATGAACAATGGCCGCCTCTGTTGCTGCAAAGCTTTGTGGGTTCAAACCGGCAGCGTAGAGCGTCCACATGGGGGCGCCAGAGCCGCCTGAGAAACGAGACCACTGTGACGCGCAAGAGTTAGCTTCCAAAGGCCAACAACTACACAAAAGAGAAGTTCACTTACGACATCCTGGTGAGGATCCATAAAGATGTAGAAGCCATAGCTCTTGGCCACGCGCAGAACGTCAATGGTGTGCTGTATCCATTCCTCGTCGTAGATGCCAGGGCCAGCAGCTTCAATGGCCTCCCACGTAAAGACATAGCGGATGGTGTTGTATCCGAACCGTTTTAGACGCGAGAAATGGAGGTGGGCTTCTTCCTTGGGAAACGGTCGTCCAGTAAACTTGACATTGTCGCCATCGAAGAAGTTCTCGCCGACATGGGACGGCTGCTCGGGTTTGTTGGGATACTTGGCGTCGCCCGCGACATTGATGCCTCGTAGCGTGATCTGTCTCCCGTGGACGTCACGAAAGGAGCCGTTCTCGATGGTGAGGCGGAAGCCGGCCATGTTGGTGGTAGAGGTATCCCTGGTCGGCGATGTATCAATGTTGCAAGAGGTATAAGACAGTCGGTATAACAACTAGTACACGGATTAACGGATTATGTGATAGGTAAAGAGGTCAAGGAAAAGTCAGACAAAAGGTTGGGATGATCGGTCGGTGTTGGGTAGTTCCCGCCTGCCCTTGTTGATCCCATGTTTGGTCAGTGGTCGACGTTGCTGGGCTGCTGTTCCCGCCTTCCCCAATGACGTCGGGGGTTTAGCGGCGATAAGGGGCCGGATGACAGGCGATGGCAGGGGGGAACTGGGCGGATACGGGGAAGACAGGGGGCCAAGATCTCGCCAGCACACGGCAGCGATCCCCATCCCATACACCCCGCCCTTTCTTCAAGCAGTCGCGCAATGTGTGAAGTTGAAGCTGTTGGGGAATTGGGAAGGGATCATGGTAATGGAGGAAGAAGTATAGAATTGGGGAGGAACGAATAACAATTGGAACCAATTCGTTCCATCTAATGTCATGGGAAAAGGGTTAGGGTTTAACATGCTTGGAATGCATCAGTGGACTTTGATTATCAGCGTGCACCCCTGCATGAGCATGGTCCTCGCTCCACTGCAAGTGCTTTACGCGTGCCGCGGTTTTGCGACGCGACGGTTACTGAATTGTTTCGTGAATCGTGAAATCAACACTGGGAAACGAGGAGGATTATTTACCTTCCAAACATCCACGGCTGTTCACCTCAGGACAGGATAGTACTCGATTCAAGGACACTACTCTCATATCTGAACGACCTCACAATGCCTCATTCCGAATCACCACCAGAGTCAGAGGACTCGCCGACACCCATGGTCGATGTCGACCAACAACAGCAAGAGGATGCCGCTCCTGAGAGCACAACCGCCCAAGTGCCGGAAGTCCAGCAGCCAGCAGACGAGGACGTTGACATGACGGATTCAAATGCCCCAACTCAAACCTTGGCCGAGTCGGAGTCCAAGGCTGAAAGCCAAGCCGAGCCACAAAACGATCAAGATACGCCAGTCCCAGAGGCTGCCACGAGTGCACCGAGCGAGAGCAAACCGGCGACAGGAGTGAAGCTCGAGGAACTGTTTGATGAGATGGACTCCGACGAAGATGACGAGTTCCCAACTTCCAAGGCAGCAAAGAGGGAGCCAGCAAGCTCACCCGATCTGCTCTCCTCGCAAAGGTAGCACAATCATGCTTTCCAAACCCAGAACAGCAGAAGCTAACTAGCTGTCTGTAGTGACATGGAGATTGATCTCCACGAAGCCTCAGATCCCGAAGTCATGCGCACATTCTACCAGCGTCTCTTCCCGTGGCGATACCTGTTCCAATGGCTTAACCACAGCCCAACACCTACCAACGATTTCGGCCATCGTGAATTCGCCTTCACGTTGCAGAACGACGCATACCTACGATACCAATCCTTCACCACCTCGGATCTGTGAGTGCCTTCGTCCAATTCCCTACCGGCTATCCATTGGCTAACGCGACTCGAACAGATTGCGCAAAGATGTCCTCCGCCTCATGCCCTCGCGTTTCGAAATCGGCCCCGTCTACACAGCCAACCCCCGAGATCGCAAAACGCTACGGAACTCGTCCGCCTTCCGGCCCCTCTCCAAGGAGCTCTGCTTCGATATCGACTTGACCGACTACGACGACATCCGCACCTGCTGCGACAAGGCCAATATCTGCCAAAAGTGCTGGCAGTTCATCACCATGGCCATCAAAGTGATCGACACGGCGCTGCGCGAGGACTTTGGCTTCAAGCACATCATGTGGGTATACTCTGGCCGTCGCGGTGCCCACGCGTGGGTATGCGACAAGGCGGCGCGATCGCTGGACGACCAAAAACGTCGGGCCATCGCCGGCTACCTCGAAGTCATCCGGGGCGGCGCGCAGAGCGGCAAGAAAGTCAACCTCCGCCGACCTTTGCACCCGCACCTGGTCCGCTCCCTCGACATCCTCAAGCAGCACTTCCAGTCGGACGTGCTCGAGGCCCAAGACCCGTGGCGCACCGAGGACCAGCAGGAAAAACTCCTCGCCCTTTTGCCTTCGGATCAAAAGCAACTCGTGTCCGCCCTCCGCAACAAGTGGGCCTCTAGCCCGGACCGCCCCTCAACCCTGAAATGGGCCGACATCGACACGGTGGCCAAGACGTCCACCGCAAAAAACCTCGACACCAAGTCCCTCCTCGACGCCAAGCAAGATATCGTGCTCGAGTACACGTACCCGCGCCTCGATATCGAGGTGTCCAAGAAGCTGAACCATTTGCTCAAGTCGCCCTTTGTCGTGCACCCCGGCACAGGGAGGGTGTGTGTGCCGATTGATGTGAAGAGGGGGGGATTAGAGAGTTTTGATCCGTTGGGGGTGCCGACGGTGCAGAGCCTGATTAGGGAGATTGACGAGTGGAAGAAACCGGAAACCAAAAAAGGGGAGGAGGAGAAGCAGGAGGAGAAACATGTGGTGGATTGGGAGAAGACGAGTCTGAAGGGGTATATTGAGTTTTTTAGGAACTTTGTGATTGGGTTGATGAAGGATGAGAGGGAGGTTAAGGTGAAGAGGGAGCGGGAGGAGGAAGGAGGAGGAGGAGGTGAGAGTATGGAGTTTTGATGACGAAGATTTAAAAGATGGGGAATTGGGGGACCATAAAAGGGTTGGTTGGGTTTAAATGTTTGCGCATTTGGTGATGGGTCAATCGGCGTTGTAGGTGCTACTGGGTATGCAGGCCGAGATTTAGCAGGTCTACGGCTGACTTGAACAACATGGGGACTCGATAATCCCTTTTGAAGACTGTGGAGGGGTATCTGTTTTGTTGGCTCAATAATTGGGTATATATGCTTGTGATGCTCCCGCTATCCTAAACATGCAACGGCTTTGCTAATCTGCCACTGTGTGTGTTATGGGGAAATTTCACTGGACTTTCTCTACAGAGCGCAGAGCCGTCATCCACGCCGTTCGAAGGAGTTGTTTGAGGTGAGAAAGAGCTCTTAACCAGACATCTGCACATCCTGTGCCTGCTCTGTCGTCTGGTCTGTGACATGCGTAGCTGCAGCCTCACCGTTGGCTTCCTCAGCGCCATTCTCCTCCTCCTCCTCTTCATCATCTTCGCCATTGTCCGCAGCAGGGGTACCGCACGACGACTCGGCCTTGAGGGTTCCGCCCTTTCTCTTGGGAATAACCGTCAGGAACGCCTCACCCCAGTCACCACACTCGAGCCATTTGGCCATGATCTCTACAACCTGGTTCGTTGTGAGGACATAGCGGCTCTGCATCGCCATGTACTCTCCAATAGGCAGCTTGGCCGTCCGCACCTTTGCCGCCTTGGCCCGTCCGTAGCAGAGACCCTTCTCGCGGTTCCTATCCACCAGGCCACCGATGACGTAGCACGTGTTCGCTTCTAGCTTGTCCAAGGTGTAGTCAGACTCTGCCGACAGGTAAACAATCGACTGGTTCACATCCTCGGCCTCTTCCTCGGGCTTCGGCTTGGGAGCCGCAGCCGCATCACCACCCTCGGCACCCTCTACCGTCTCCTCGGCTTCTGGCTCAGGCTCAGGAAGCGACAACCCACCATTTCCACTCGGCTTGATGAGATCAATCATGCCCTCCTTGACATCAGCCTCCTCCATCATGCCCTTCGCAATCTCCGCCGCCTGCATGAAATCGCCCTCCACGCACTTTACGCCCCCCTTCCAGTTCAGGTGCGCGTTATTCAGCACCGAAACGAACCGGTCCTTGAGCTTGCCCTTCCACGAGCTGATCAGCAGCTGCGCCTGGTACTTGGCCCGGCGGTTCTGCGAGTAGCTACGCACGATCTGCGAAGACAGCGACACGATCTCGTTGTCGCGCATGTACTCCTCAAAGTCGCAGTCGATGATGAAGGCCACGGGAACCGGGTGTGCCACCCACGGCTCCTTGCACAGCTTTTTGAGGGCCTCCTCCGGGTCCTGGCCGGCCGCTTGGGCTTCGGCTACCACGGCTTCTTTGAGGGCTCGCTTCTTGGCTTGTTGCTGGTGTCGCTTTTCTTTGCGCTTTTCCTTGCGTTCTTGTCGGAATTGTTCGTGGGCTGCTTGGCGGCGGAGGCGCTTGAGTTGGTTTTTGGAGATTTTGGGGGTGCCATCTTCTTGTTGTTGTTGGACTTGTGGCTCTTGAGCGTTGTCTGTGGTAGTTGTGGTTTGCTCGGTCGGTTGCTGCTCAGTGCTGGGAGCCGACTGCTCGGTTTGTTGTTGCTCGACCATCTCTTTCGTTAGCTGCTCTTCCGCCTTTCGCTTTGAATTGGCTGTCGATACGGTGTCTGCTAGAGGTTCTGCTTGGGCCACAGCGACTTGAGGGGTTTGCTCCGCCATATTGTGTGGTGACAAAGATGGAGAGAGAAAGATAAATGGAGATATGGAAATGGAAGATGGCGATCTAAAAGTTTAAGTGGGGAAAGAATTTAAAGGCCGCGGAGGGGTGTCACTGGAAGCGGCAGAAACACCCCTCTGTTTTAATGGTGCATTTAGGCGGTCTGTGCTGTGGAAGGTGCTACAAAGACACCCCCGTCCATGCCTAGACGCGTCCCCCATGCATCTCTTTTAATTGAGGCGCGTCTCCCCAATGACACGCGGACCAGCATCTTCTTTCCGCAACAAGTCCTTGGTGTCACCACTGCAACCTCGGCCCTCCCACTGTTCTTTCTCTGGAATTTGTGCCGGTAAGCAAGAGGGAGGCGTCAGTTTTGTACTACCTGAACATCGGACGAGACTTCAGTAAGATATCTTGGCCAAAATGTCCTCCAGACCAGAGCTTAAGGTTCGTCAACAGCTCCATATGGAAAGACAACAGTCGACAGCTAGCTGACTATGGAACTTCATATCTGTAGGTCGACGACGAACATGGCTTCATCCGCTTCTACAAGTCCCTGCCGCAACTTGGCGAAGAGGCCATAAGGATATTCGACAGAGGTGACTGGTACACAGCACACGGCGACGATGCCACCTTTATTGCCCGAACCGTCTACAAGACAACATCCGTCATCCGCCAGCTTGGCCGAAGCGACCATACCGGCCTTCCATCAGTTACCATGACCGTAACCGTCTTCCGACAATTCCTCCGTGAAGCCCTGTTCAAGCTAGGGAAACGAATCGAGATCTGGGCCAGCCCCAATGGCCGCATGAACTGGAAGATCGTCAAGCAAGCTTCCCCAGGAAACCTACAGGATGTGGAGGATGAGTTGGGTGGTCAGTTCGAGGGAGCTCCCGTTATCCTAGCGGTCAAGATCTCGGCCAAGGCTTCGGAAGCCAGGACAGTGGGAGTTTGCTTTGCCGATGCCAGTGTACGGGAACTGGGAGTTAGCGAATTCCTCGACAACGATCTATACTCCAACTTCGAAGCATTGCTCATTCAACTAGGCGTTAAGGAGTGTATCGTCACACAAGACAAGGGCGAGAAGGAAAAGGATCCAGAGTTGGCCAAGTTGAGGCAGATCATTGACAACTGCGGTGTTGCCATAGCAGAAAGGCCAGCAGGCGAATTCGGCACCAAGGACATCGAGCAAGATCTGTCGCGGCTGCTGAAGGATGAACGCGCTGCCACTTTACTCCCGCAGACCGACTTGAAACTCGCTATGGGATCTGCCGCGGCCCTCATCAAATATCTAGGCGTCCTCCATGATCCCTCCAACTTTGGCCAGTATCAACTGTACCAACACGACCTGGCCCAGTTCATGAAGCTGGATGCGGCAGCATTGAAAGCTCTCAACCTCATGCCTGGTGCTAGGGACGGAGCAAAGAACATGAGTCTGTATGGGTTGTTGAACCACTGTAAGACTCCCGTGGGAAGCAGACTGCTTTCCCAATGGCTCAAGCAGCCCCTGATGAATGCGGATGAGATTGAGAAGCGCCAGCAACTGGTCGAGGCCTTTGCCAATGACACTGAGCTACGACAGACAATGCAAGAGGAACATCTGAGGTCCATCCCCGACTTGTACCGGCTGTCTAAGCGGTTCCAGCGTGGCAAGGCAACACTAGAGGATGTCGTAAGGGCATACCAAGTAGTCATTCGCCTACCAGGCTTCATTGGAACCCTCGAAGGCGTGATGGACGAAGCTTACCGTGACCCTCTTGATGAAGTCTACACCAACAAACTCCGCGAGCTCTCAGACAGCCTCGTCAAGTTGCAGGAAATGGTCGAGACCACAGTTGATCTTGACGCCCTCGACAACCACGAGTTCATCATCAAGCCCGAGTTTGACGATAGTCTACGCATCATCCGCAAGAAGCTGGACCGACTTCGCACCGACATGGACAACGAGTTCGCCGAAGCCGCCGACGATCTCGGCCAGGAGCGCGAGAAGAAGATCTTCCTTGAGAACCACAAGGTCCACGGCTGGTGTATGCGTCTCACTCGCACCGAAGCTGGCTGCATCCGCAACAACTCGCGCTACCTGGAGTGCTCAACCCAGAAGAACGGTGTCTACTTCACCACCAAGACTCTCCAAACCCTCCGCCGCGAGTTCGACCAGCTCTCCCAGAACTACAACCGCACCCAAAGCAGTCTCGTCAACGAAGTCGTCGGCGTCGCCGCCTCATACTGCCCCGTCCTCGAGCGGCTCGCCGCCGTTCTCGCCCACCTCGACGTCATCGTCTCCTTCGCGCACTGCTCCGTCCACGCTCCCACCTCCTACGTGCGGCCCAAGATCCACCCTCGCGGCACCGGCCGCACCGTCCTCACCGAAGCCCGCCACCCGTGCATGGAAGTCCAAGACGACGTGACCTTCATCACCAACGACGTCACCCTCTCGCGCGAGGACTCTTCCTTCCTCATCATCACCGGCCCCAACATGGGCGGCAAGTCGACGTACATCCGGCAGATCGGGGTGATCGCGCTCATGGCACAGATTGGCTGCTTCGTGCCCTGCTCGTCAGCGGAACTGACCATCTTCGACAGCATCCTCGCGCGCGTCGGCGCGTCCGACTCGCAGCTCAAGGGCGTGTCGACCTTCATGGCCGAGATGCTGGAGACGGCCAACATCCTCAAGTCGGCCACGGCCGAGAGCCTGATCATCATCGACGAGCTGGGTCGCGGCACGTCGACGTACGACGGCTTCGGCCTCGCCTGGGCCATTTCGGAGCACATCGTCAAGGAGATCGGCTGCTTTGCGCTGTTCGCCACCCACTTCCACGAGCTGACCGCGCTGGCGGATAGTTACCCTAATGTCAAGAACCTGCACGTTACGGCGCACATCAGCGGCACCGATACCGAAGACGAAAAGAACAAAAAGAAGCGCGAGGTAACGCTCCTCTACAAAGTCTCCCCAGGCATCTGCGACCAGAGCTTCGGCATCCACGTCGCCGAGCTGGTCCGGTTCCCGGACAAGGTGGTGCGCATGGCCAAGCGCAAGGCGGACGAGCTGGAGGACTTTACCAGCAAGCATGACGAGGATAACGGAGGAGGTGGTTTGGGTGTTCAGTACAGCAAGCAGGACGTGGAGGAGGGCAGTGCGCTGTTGAAAGACGTGCTGGTGAAATGGAAGGATGAGGTGAAGAGTGGGCAGATGAGTAAAGAGGAGATGGTGGGGAGGTTGAAGGAGTTGGTACAGAAGGATGAGAGGTTGTTGGGGAATCCGTTTTTTAAGAGTGTTCAGGCGTTGTGAGGGAGGCGAGGTGAGGGATTACGCCTCACTTGGTGCTGTGAAGGTGGACAGTTAAGGTTGCTGTTGGAGATGTTTTCATCCGGGGGGGGGGGGGGGGGGGAGGGGATATTATCTGGAATGTTAAGGACGGTTACGGGCGGGGCGGTGTATGACTACTGGGCTGGCTATGTGGCAGGGAAAACTAATGCTTATGCTCACTTTGGGCGTTTAACTGATTTTCAATCATACGGAGGTAATCAGACCAGGCAAGGCAGGAAAGGCGTTCAGAGAGCAGGGCAGAGTTGTTTGTACATGTCACACGGATCAAAATATAGGAGCAATGATGACAATGGTAGTCGATATGGCACTGGACGGTCAGTTATTGTACACTGGCAGTAAAAAAACTGTCCTACCTTTGGGGGTGTCCCAGGCCCAGATCCAGTCATCATATTCGAAAATCTGATCCAAAGCAGTTGAACAGCCCCGAGACCTTTTTAAAAGTGCTGGTGGCCTGGACCGGCTTCTTCCCTACCTCTCTGCCAAGGTCAGGCGAGCCACCGGTAGTCCACATATCGCCTCCCTGAGGGCTCCCGTCTTCTTCTTTGGAGACTAATATGATAGCTAGACGGACCGTTCGCCAATCCGTCAGTCCCTTCAGATTTCGGGTCCAGTATCAATCAGTATGCAAAAGTAAGTAACTTGGCCGTGGCCAGCCAACCAAGATGCCATTTTGAAATCCTAGATCCCTTTCATTGTAAACCATATAGCCATGCGTAACATCAGATCCCATCCATTCCCCTTCACAACCTCAACCTCTCCCTCTCCTTCTCCCTCATCTGCTTCGCCCTCTTCAAAATCCCCTCCTGCTCCTCCTTCAACGTCATCAACACCCAAAACCAGCTAAAAGTCTCGACAAGCATGAAGGTGAAAAACACCCTGTTCTTGAGCGCATCGCCTCCCCAGCCCCAATCTCCCGCCGCATCCTTAGCCGCATACTCCCCGCCGAACGACGTCGTCGGGTGGCTGAACTTTCCTCCGGAGGTGCCGGCCGAGTCATAGAGGGGCGACGAAGCCGAGAAAAAGAAGCTGTAGAGCGTCAAGAAGAAGGAGATGGTTAGGCGTAAGGGCACTTGAGAGCCCCAGTGGTGGATCAAAGCAATCTCTTCGGGCATGGAGAGCGAGACCAGGTCGGTGAGACCCCAGAGGCCGAGGACGATGCCGAGGAAGGCGGCGGTGGGGGATTGAGTTTCGAAGTGGCGGGATTCGGGCTGCGGAAGAAGGAAGGATATAGGTTAGAATCGTATTGCCGCTGGCTGACCTCAGGAAATGGGGAAGTATGTAGAGAAAGGGAGGGGGAACATACCAGGCCCATAGCCTCCCCAAGTAGCCAGACTACGCCCTGGTCGGCAATGGTGGCGGGACGGGTGATGAAGAAGAAGGCGAGCGTGATGTGGAAGAGAGAGATGGAGGTTAGAATCGTTGTGGCGGATATGAGCCCCATGGTGACGGATGGGTTTATTTGTCGCTGTCGCTGTCGCGATTCTAGGTTGGTCGGCTTGACAGGATGGATGGTACGGGCTGCCGTGCGGTAAAGGGGCGCTGTAGATGCTGGACGATGCGCAGACGACGTGCTGCTCTCGGTATGATGGAAATCCCAGTCGATACAAAGTGAAGTGTTCGTGTTTCGTGCGCCGTAAGACTTTGTACTCCTTTTCGAAACGAGATGTTTCTGTGTCAAGGATAGCTTTTGAGTGGCTGTGATGCTGGAACATTCCCACGTCCGAATCGCAAGAGATGTCCGAGAGCTAATTTAAGCTTACACTACCCTAACCCTCTGCATACAGCTGCCACATTGACAGCTCTTGGCCCATGCCATTTCCACACCTTGATGGCCTGGTGGGGTACAGCTACCTTATACATAGCTCCTGATAGGGCTCCTATCAGTTAACAACTGTTGACCTCTCATTCAGGGGGGACTGGATTCATGACAACATCTAACTGAACAACGTCACACTCACTCTCTTTTCATCTTTACACACATGAGACTTGGGACTGTATAACGTAGTAATTACCCTCTTTTATCTAATATTTAATTGGAGTCACCCGGTTTGCGTCTCACACTCACACCCACACCATGGACAACAACGACACAGAAGCACCCGTCCTTGACGGCTGCGACCAGCCGAAGGCCCAGGAGGAGGAGCCCGAGCAGGAATGGCCCTACCTCGACGTCCACCGACATCTTCGATACTGGAAGATGTGCATCCGAGCTCCCTTACCTCACATCTATCTCTCCAACGAATCCAATCGCCTAGCTCTGGCTTATTTCATCGTCAACTCCGTCACCCTCCTGACCCCGCCTCCGTCAGAACGAACTCCCGAGACACCAGAACCTCTCATCAGCCGCGAGGACAAGAAGCTGATGAGGAAATGGGTTCTTCACCACCAACACCCTACCGGCGGCTTCGTAGGCACCTCCTCGCTTGTTTTCCCGCTTAGAGACTACGACACATACAACTTCGACACCAAAACCTCTGATGAGCCAGACCATGCCGGCTTGGCCAACATTACCTCCACACTGTTTGCCCTGCAACTGCTTGCCCTGCTGGCAGATGAGGAGGACGAGGCGGCGGCTGAGAACGTCTTCGAGGGCGTGAACCGGGTGGGGACGTTGCGCTGGCTGAAGAGCCTCCAGCGCGAGGATGGAAGTTTCGGAGAGGCGCTTAGTGATTTACCGGGCCACGGGCGGTTTATTGCTGGCGGGTATGATATGCGCTACTGCTACATTGCCACGGCCATCAGGTGGATTCTGCGAGGGGATGTGAAAGAGGGAAGCCCAGGGTGGGTGGAGGATTTTGACACCGAGGCATTGGCGAGGTATATCTTGAATAGTCAGGTATGTTTCATTTCACTTCACTTCACTTCCTCATGTCTAACGGTGTCGGGGTCACTAACAAACACATTCCCTTAGACATACGACCGAGGTTTCGCCGGCAATTCCCAAGATGAAGCCCACGCCGGCTACGCCTACTGCGCCATAGCAGCCCTCACCCTCCTCGACCGCCCTCTCACATCCACCTCCCCCTCCACCAAACCCCAACCCCATAACTCCCCCCTCCTCCACTCCTCCATCCGCGACCTCCCCGGCCTAATCCACTGGCTCGCCTCGCGCCCCTTCGTCTACCTCGAACCGCCCCCACCTTCGGCCTCTACGGACCCAGACACCTACATCTACCAAGAAGACGACCTCGACGACCCCAACTTCTTGTTGCCACCAACCCCCTCCGACCTCCTCTGCCTTTTAGACACCCTCCAAAAAGAAAAAGGCAAACAGGTGAACGTGGCCTTCAACGGCCGCACAAACAAAGTAGCAGACACGTGCTACTTCTGGTGGGTAGGCGGCGCGCTCGCCAACCTAGGCCATTTGGATGAACTGGTGGATCGAGAAGCTGCCAGACGGTTTCTGCTGGAGAAGATGCAGCACCGGATCGGCGGGTTCGGGAAATCGCCGGGCAGTCCGCCGGATTTGTATCATAGCTTTTTTGGGCTGGCGGTTTTGGGGCTGTTGGACCACGAAGGGGAGAGGGGGAAGGTGAGAGCGTTTGATGCGGGGTTGGCGGTGCCGAGGGAGACGGTGGGGGTTATTGAGCGGGCGAGGGGGAAACTAATTGAGAGCGAGAAGAAGGGTGGGAAGGGTTTTGACGAGAAGCAAACGGTGAGGGGGAAGGAGGCGGTTGAGATGGGGTTGGAGCTGAGGGGGGATGGGGAGAGACCGAAGTGGCTTGGAGCGTGTGGGTATTGATTGAAGTTGGCCGATGGTGATGATGGTTGAAGTTTGAACTTCTCGTGGAGGTAGAGAACATAGCGAGTATCTGGTAACGAAAGCGTTGGCTGGTGGAATGGGCTTTTGCTTGTAAAACACATATACATACATACCCCTGAGCGACTGGCGTGCCATCATAAATCAAAAGTCAATATCCAAGAGCAACTTGGGAATTCATTCGCTTGCATGCTCTCATATCCAACATTCTACATAACCCATATCTCATCAAAATCATAAACCCAGAAGCCCCCCAAAACTTCTTCAAGCAGCAAGCGCATGCTTGATAAGCGTCTTGTACCCCTCCACCGCAGTCTCCAAGTCACTAACTTTCAACCCCTCATCATCGCCATGCGCCACCAAGATGCTTCCAGGCCCATACAAATAACTGACATAATCGCCCTCAAAGTTAGGCACATCCGTCCCATAGCTCGCCACCATGGTCTCAAACCCGTCCACATCGCAATTACACTCGACAGGACCATACCCACCCGTCCACTCCATCGTGAACGCTTCCTCATCGGTCTCCTTCAGAATCTTGTCCACCGCCTTCCTCACAATATCCGCACCGGTAGCTTGGTTACCCGCCGCGACGCGAATGGCCAGCTTCGCCTGCGCCTCCTTGGGAATCACGTTCGCCGCCACGCCGCCCGCGATGGTGCCGATGTTCACCGTCGTGTTGCCGTAGCGCTCGCTGCTGCCCAGGTCCGCGGAAACGATCTTCGCGAGCGCCTTGACCAGTATTTCAGTAGCGCTCTTGAACAGCCAGGGGTAGCCCGAGTGGCCGGCGATTCCCTGGGCTTTGAGCACGCCGCCCGTCATGCCTTTGTGTCCGCAGCTGAGCTTGTTCTCCGTCGGCTCGCCGTAGATGGCCGCCTTAAATCGGGGTAATTCTTCCTTCTTGTTCTTTTCCTCATCGTTGTAAACAGTCGAAAACGTCTTCATCCCATCGCCGCTAATCTCCTCGCCCACGACGAACAGGAGCATCAGATCGGCTGGGTCCACCTCCTTGGCGCGGATGAGCTCCTCGACCGCGACGATCTGCGCGGCCACGCTGGCTTTGGCGTCGACGGAGCCGCGGCCGCTGATGAAGGCGTCGGACGTGACTTCGTCGGACCCCTCAGAGGTGCTGATGTGGTAGGGGATGAAGGGCGGGACGACGTCGATGTGCGAGGTGACTAGCACGCGCGGGCTGGAGAGGTTGTGCGAGCTCGGCCAGGCGAGCACGTTGAAGCGCCCTTGGGAGTGGTCATCGTCGTCACCGTGGGAGGCCTTCTTGTCGCTTTCGAGGAATTGGGCCTTGGCTACGTAGCCGAGGTTGTTACGGAGGTAGTCGAGGAGGAACTTGCCGACTTCTTGCTCGGTGCGGGAGATGGAGGGGATTTCGATCAGGGATTTGTGGAGGGAGAGAAGGTTCTTGCGGTAGGATGGCGCATTGTTGGCGTCAGATGAGGTAGAGATCTGGAGGGGAGAGATGGAAGAGTCATCGACGATGAGTGGGTGTTGGTAGGTGTTTTCGATGACGAAGGCAGAGCTGTGGGAGAGAAGGAAGGTCCCCCAAAGGAGGATAAGGTTGGATGTTGTTTTCATTATTGGGTATTTCCCTTGTGATACTTCAAGGGAGGAAAGAGAAAAGATATGGAAATGAAAACTTGGAAGCATAAACAAAATATTTCCATCTTGAGTCGCGAGCTGTGACGTGACCGCAATTGCGAATGTTGAACCCCACACCGGGTAGCGGGAGAGGTCCACTTTGGAGAAGAAGTAAGCGTTGGGGATTCCCCAATCGCTGACCCCTGCGTGGCCCTGCCAAGACATAACAAGTGGGGACTGTATGTAAACAAACATCTCTAGGTGACGACGGTGTTTCACTTCCAGAGCACAAGTCTTGCTTGAACCTAGATCCCACTCGACTACTACCACTTAAGTGTATCAACACCATTCGTACTTTTGCCAGAAAAACATCCAACCCATGAATTTTGTAGTATCTATGCCCTACGCCTGCCACTCAACGCCGAAACTATATCGCCAAGTCTAATCGCCAGGTCTATATCTACTGGAATCTCTCAGGCATCAGGTCCTCAAAGTGGAACTTGCCATCCTCTCCCTTCACCACGGTGCCCTTCTCAGTGACAATGGCATCAATGTACTCATGGGGAGTAACATCGAAACCAGGGTTCCAAACACCGATCCTCTGGTCAGCAATCGCCACTCTGACAGACTTGCTGGTGTCGATGGAGCCATCCGCGTTAACGACAGCGCCGCTAATCTGAGTCAACTCCTCACGCTTGCGCTGCTCGATCTCGATATCGTCACCGGTCTCGGTGTCAACGTCAATGCTGGTGGTAGGGGCAGCAACCATGAACTTGATGCCGTGGTGCTTGGCGAGGACCGCAAGCTGGTACGTTCCGATCTTGTTGGCAGTGTCACCGTTGCGAACAACACGGTCGGCACCAACGATAACCGCGGCAATGTTGTCCTCGGCCTTGCGCAGACGGAAAAGGGCGGCGGCCATGCTGTCGGTGATCAGGGTGGCCGGGATGCCCTCGTGGACAAGCTCGAAAGCAGTCAAACGGCTGCCCTGGTTGTAAGGGCGGGTCTCGGTGCAGTAGGCGTGTCTGAGGAGGCCCTCGTCACGGAGGGTACGGATGATACCGAGGGCGGTGCCGTGGCCGGAGGTGGCGAGAGAGCCAGTGTTGCAGTGGGTGATGACAGTAATCTTGCTGTCGTCGGTGATCTTGTACTGCTCCTGGAGCCACTTGGCGCCAAAAGCACCAATCGACTTGTTGGTCTTGAGATCCTTGGCAAGAATCTCCTCAGATGCCTCAATGAAAGCCTTGATGATGGCCTCCTTGGCTTCGGCGTCCGTCAGACCCTCAGTCTTGACACTGCGAACGGTCTTCTTGAGCAATCTGACGGCGTTGCCAAGATCAACGGCAGTTGGCCTGGACTCATAGAGATAGTCCAGACGGGAGTCAATGTACTTGATGACATCCTCGGTGCCGGTCGCAGTGCAGCTGCCGTTGTGAAGCTCAACAGAAGCAGCCAAAGCAGCAACAATGGCAATAGCGGGAGCACCTGCGGTCTTTTGTTCAGTACAGATGTCACTTGTTTTCATTGTGTAATGCTTGCTTGAGCTCACCTCTGACTCTCATGGCCTTGATGCAGTCAAAAGCCTCCTCACTGGTGGAGACCTCATCATAGTGATGCTCATGAGGGAGTCTAAGCTGGTCCAGGACCTCCAACTTGCCCCGGGAATACTTGATGGCTTCGAGAGCAGACATGGTGTTGATATTGAAGTGACAGAGGCCTGGGGCTTAAAAGGAACCAAAAACAAACAAATGTCTTGGTCTATGAGACACCAAAAACTGTACAGGCTGGAGAGATATTCAGAGGAAAAGAAAGACTTCAGACAGGCCCTTGAAATTGTCACTGTAGTCTTCTTATTCAAGAAACTGATGATAAAAAAGACGCCCCACAAGCCGCCACCCAGAACGGCTTGCACAATCGCATCGTCTGATTGGTTAGAATGCTCCATGTATAAGTGCGCTGAGAAAAGCAGCGTAACCTGGGACTAAACCGCATTTGGAGTTAAGATCAAAGAGTGGGGCAGGCTCGGGAAGGTCTGGCCGACAAGGTACCTTGAGCTTAACTCGGTACCCGCTGCCGTCACACCGATACGGGGACAGCTTTACATGCTTGTACGGTAACTTCAACAAAACATCTGAACGAACTGCCTCCAAGACGCCTTTGCGAATACCCCTCTAGAGATAACACCCGAGTGTCATGCCATAGATCTCGCCCCACGACGGAGCTGTCCAGTATGGAACAGCCATTCTCTTCCTCCAAGGTCACAGGTTCGAAGCTCCCTAATACGACACCCATCTTCTTGTCTCCTGGTCATGCCATGACCATTGCTTCTCGGCGCATTCCATGTAAGACATGCTAACTTGCATGCCGACGTCCACAGTCGAGTACTTCGATCCCCACGATGTCTACAAGCTCCTTTCGCCGGGCCTGATTCCCCGACTGCCCCTCCGCGACCTCAACTGGCAGTCTCACGGAGGCCCCCTGCGCTCCATCAACACCCTCCACGTCGAACTCGTTCCCACCGACCAAGCCGGCGCTGTCGATCGATCTTCGGTTCTCTCGCCCACCCCCGATAGCAAAGCCCCGGTCCGTGGCCGTGGAGAAAGCACCGCTAGCCGCGACGATGGCTTCTCTACAGCGCCCATTGGTCGTGGTCGTGGTAGCTCTACCGACAACGCCGGGCCGCTAGGTGCGATTCGTCACTCTGGACCCGGAGTCACCAAAGAACGACGACATCAGATCCCCGGTCTACGACGCACTCCCTACCTCAAGGTCCTCTTTGTCAGGTGTGACGATAACGATGCATACAAGTCAACTACAAGAGCCGAGATCCGCGAATGGATCAAGACAAACACTCCTTCATCCACCCCGGGAAAATCAGCGAGCAATGCAGAAAACCACGACGCCTTTGAATGGTTGATCGTTCACGTTGTTATACCCAACACTGTTGCTGCCACTCAGCCGCGGTCTAGCGGGAGCAAAGCGACCGACTCGAGTTCCGAAAAAACTTCGGCTCTCAAGTGGCGGACTGGGTCCAGCACTCTGTTGGAGAAGCTGCGCAATGACTTCAACGGTACGGGCAAGGGCGCCGTTGACCGCGTGAGGCAGATCCGCATTGGCATCAATGACGTCCCCTACGATCTCTTGCCTCGCGTCGTTCCCGCCGTGCCAACTGGCTACCACGAGACAGAGCAGGATAGCGAAAATGCCTGGCAGGACTTGATTGGAAAGATCAAGGAGCTCATCCTATCGAGTTTCGACACCCGTGTTACCCAATATGAGGAGGACATCAAGGACAAGGATGCCCAAAGGGGCTTGCCTGGCTGGAACTTCTGCACCTTCTTCATCTTGAAGGAAGGATTGGCTCGAGGCTTCGAAAGCGTCGGCCTTGTAGAGGACGCCCTGGTTGGCTACGACGAGCTTAGCATCGGACTGGACGCTATCATTAAGGAGCAAGCCATTTCTGGCTCGGCGGAAGCCCATGGTGGAGCTCTTCTCGACTATACTGAAGAACTGAAGACTCTTGCCGAGCAAGCCGCGAGCCAGATCTTTTCAGGAAATATGGAGTTTGAAGACGAGGAGACTGTTGATCTTCAGACTAGCAAGCGGGTGAAAGATACGGATCCCTTCGGCGCCATTCCCATCAGCTCAACCAAGAAACCATATCGCGAACTGATTCTTGCCAATAACATCTCGCTCTTCGACTTCCGGTGCTACATTTTCTCCCGGCAGGTTGCCCTCCTTCTGCGGCTCGGCAACGCCTGGTCAACCAGAGAGGAACTCCTTGCTAAACTCAAGGAACAACAAGACTTGGCTCCTCGGGGCGTTGCACCCAGGGCACCACCACCAAAACAGGCCTCGGATGAATCTGAGAATCTCTCACAGCTTGCCGAGATCTGCAGGAGGACATTGGAATTTGTTCCTGCAGTCTCCATGCTCATCCGTAAGGACATCCTAGCGGCCTTGGGGCTGGGGAAGGGAGGCGCTGGGGTTGGTGATGGTTCTCCGAGTGGGAAGATCGACCCAGTACTGGCCGAGATTATTGACAACATTGTTGCTTCATTCGCCTTCTCGGTTGCGCAGCAAATTCTTGCTCAGACTTCCACCAAGTCTTTGCAAATCCCTGCCCCCATGCTGGCCACCTCTGGTGACAGCGAGCAAAAGTCCGCGATTCCGGAGCCGAAAACCATGATGCATCCTGCGCGGACGTCGTCCATTCCCTTACGCCAGTCTATACAACGTCCCCCGGCCAGCCCTGTTGGCTTTCCAGGGCCTGGCCGTAAAGATAGCGTAAATGATGGCGAGTATGGCATGGCCCAGTTCCTTAAGACGGGACTCGAAGAGTTGGCTGCGAGAAGAGCTGAGCTGTATACTCTGTCTCGAAACGTTCTCGAAGAATGTGGCAAAAGACGAGGCTGGACTAACGGTTGGGCCGCGGTACCCATTGTAGGAGAGAGCGCCGACTTGCAAGAGATCAGCCTTGACGACGAGCCTTCGTCAGAAGCGAAACCCTCAGCTGAATTCAGCTTTGGCCTTCAGGCCTCGGTAGCTGGTGTTGGCAATGAGTTGCTACGCACTGCACTGGACAACAAGGATGACTTCTATCGACTGTACGAGACGTTGACCGATAAGGCGATGCGCCACTACTCTGTCGCCAAGTATGATCACTCCGTCCAGGCGACCAAGGCTGACCTTGCGGTCCTCAAATTTCATCTATCCGAGTACAAGGAGGCCGAGTATTACTTCTACCATACGATTCCGTTTTTTGGCGGATGTTCGTGGAGTCTGCTCGAGCTTTCAATGCTCGTTATGTATGCCAGGTGTTTGAAGGAACTGGGCAGACAAGAAGACTACGTCACCAAAGCCCTTCGCCAGCTCTTGACAAAGGCTGCAGCAGCTGAGCGAGATAGGTTACAGCAAAAGTCGATGATCCGGATTGGCAATGGGTCAGCATCACAATACCCGGAAAGTTCGGCGATATCTGGCTTCCTCGCCGATATGCTGACAGTTTCGGCAACACTAGAGAAAGAGGTCAAAATACCATTGACCAGCTTCTTTGGCGAAGTTGAGCTTGACGGGCCGCCGACCTATGACGACGATCAAGATAGTTTTTCGCTCTCGCTGAAGCTTAGGAGTCTTCTCGTTGACGAGTTTGACGCAGAGTCTGTCAGCCTTCGTATATCCAGCCCCGGGTTTGGCGGCAACAAGGAGATTTGGGTGCTGGCCAAAGGCCCCGTGACAATCAAGCCAGGGCGAAACAAGGTTCAACTACAAAGCAACATGTTGAT